ACTTTAATAAACATGCCCTGGTCACGTCCCCAGATGTTCTGATCGTTTGCTTCCATGTATGGTCAAGTATTGATATTTTTAGGTGTTTCCCAGCATAGGATCACTGTTGACAATCATTGGTAAACTGGGATTCTCTGATTCAGCTAAAAGTGAGGAGAAGATGATTATTTAAATAAACACATGTTTTAGAGATATTTGGAGGTTTTTTTTTTTTAACATAGCCAACCAAATGAAACAGTATTTTTGTTAGCACATTAACAAAGTGTTGACACCTTCATTTCTTAAAAGGAGATAACAGCTCTTATTGCTGGCTATGAGGAATATGGCCATTTTGTGAATAGCTGTGATCTTCCTAAAGTTCATCTTTTTTTTTTTTTAAATATTATTTGAGAGAGGGTATGAGCTTGAGCAGGGTGGGGGGAGGGGCAAAGGGAGAGAAAGAAACAGGCTTCCCTGCAGAGTAGGGAACCTGATGTGTGGGGCTCCATCCCAGGACTCTGGGATCATGAACTGAGCTGAAGACAGAGGCTGAACCTATTGAGCCACTAAGGTGCTCCTGAAGTTCATCTCTTAAATAAAACTTGGGAAAGGTTATGGGTGAAATGATGTGGGGAAAACAGGTGGAAAAGATTTGGTGGTCTTCAGCAAAGAAACATTTGAAGAATAATGACTAACCCCAATTTAGAAATAAGTAACAAGAATATATCATCTTAATTGCCATTGTTTTGGGTAGATGGAGCCAACCATCAAATGATAGGCTTAAAACTAAATTAAATTGAATCCTATTATGAGTTGAATTGCTCCCTCGGGGAGGGATCTGATCTTTGATTCAATATGATCAGTGTCCTTACGAGAAGAGAAAATTTGGACGCAGACACATACAGGGAAGAATACCATGTGAACATAAAGACAGTTGTCTACAAGCCAAGGAGAGAGTCAGGAACAGATCCCTTCCCTGATAGCCCTCAGAAGGAGTGACCTTGCCAACATCTCAATTTCAGATTTCCAGCTTCCAGAATTCTGAGACAACAAATTTCTGTTGTTTAAGCTGCGCAGTCTGTGATGCTTTGTTACACCAGCCCTAGCGAACTAATACAAGTCTCAGTATTTTATTCATTTTTAAAATTAAATATAGGAAACATTTAATATTTGAAATTTTGCCATACCTTCATTTAAGAGGATGGGAACCATTTCTCTATCAGGAATCTTAGAATGTGTGGCTATAAAATTTTTAGGTTCCTGGTAACTCAGACTTGAGCCAGTTAGTTGCTAGTCAATCCGTATAAAAGGCTGGAATTTATCATGAGCCCAGACCAGGAACTAGAGTTTCTGGAGTATTTTCCGTCCATTTATGGTAACATAGGGGGAGATTCTTTTCAGTCACCCACGGGGTTTCCTGGATGCATTATATATATATATATATATATATAGATTCAGGCCTGTTACCTGACATTTAGTGTTGGTCTGTTTGCTGTATATGATTTAGTAGCACCCTGGAGAAATTAGAGAGGAACAACTTTGTATATACATCTGCATTTCATGGGATATTCAGAAAAGAGTGGCCCATGCTTTTCATGAAAGGAGCGAGTACCCTAGGGAAAGACAGTATGGCTAAGTCAGGAATCCTGGGAAGTCCCTGTCTGTGCCCATGATGAAGTTCATAATAGACTCAGATTGGAGAATCCCTGCAAATGATGATATAGAAAGTCATACCTGAAACGCAAGACAGCTCCTTACTTTTTCTGGTTTTTGTGTGTTTTGGTTTGGTTTGGTTTGGTTTGGTTTTTTAACACAGCCAAATAAATATGCCAGTAAAACAAAAGGCTCCATGTTTAAGGCTATAACAGTGTACAGAGAAAGAGCAGAGACCTTGGAGTCTGTTTCATTTAAGGTCCTACCACTCACTAGCTGAATGCCTTGTGGTAAATTATTTCCCTTCCCCTCGAGCTAGTGTTTTCCCATGTAGAAAACAGATAATCCAATGTATCTCTCTCATAGGCTTTTGAGATGATTAAATAAGGTGGTAATTCATAAAAAGCAGTGAGCAGAGTACCTGGTGCATGTTAAGTGCCAATGAAGGGAGTTAATAGTGCTAGCAGAGGCAACAAGCAGGTGGCTGTTGTGCATGCTAACCACCCCCCCCCCCAGCCATTTAGTCCAAATGAATGAATGTCTTCTATGGGTGCCTGGGTGGCTAAGTGGCTAGGTGTCTACCTTTGGCTCTGGTCATGATCCCAGGGTCCTGAGGTGGAGCCCTACATCGGACTCCCTGCTCCATGGGGAGCCTGCTTCTCCCTCTGCCTCTCTCTCTCTCTCTTAAGAATAAATAAATAAAATCTTTTTTTTTAAAAAAAAAAGAATGCATCTCTTCTATCGTAACATTATATACTTAGTTTTGGCATCCATGCCTTAATATATGCCTAAAATATCTTAAGAAAACAAAACCTGGAAGTGCCCTTAGGATCAGCTCATGCTCTTCTTTGATTTATTTATTTTGAAAGATTTTATTTTATTATTTATTCATGAGAGAAACAGAGAGAGAGGGAGGCAGAGACACACACAGGCAGAGGGAGAAGCAGGCTCCACGCAGGGAGCCTGACGTGGGACTTGATCCCAGAACTCCAGGATCACGCCCTGGGCTCCCTGGGCTGAAGGCAGGCGCCAAACCGCTGAGCCACCCAGGGATCCCCTCTTCTTTGATTTAAAGTGAGGAAAATGACAGTAGGATTGGAGAATGCCTGAGCTGTCATGGTTCACAATCTTTTGATTTTATGTGTTGCTGCCTTCTAAACCGCAGAACCGTGTGTTCCTTTTCATTCTTTTTTTTTCCCTTGTTTTTCTCTCCCCCCCCTTCCTTTTCATTCTTAATTATTAAGCTTTTCGCTTCAAAGGAAACTAATGGTCTTGCTCTACTGTTGTGCCTAACATTTTCCTTAATAAACTGGATAAAAGTTATCAATCTTTGAAGTGAAATTAAAAGTAATTAAAGTAAATTGAAATAGACTTGGTTATACATAGACTGTCTCTGTTATGGAACAAAGAAACTGGTAGCAGGGGATGCCTCTGGGGAGGGGCACTGATGTACAAGTAGCATGGATTAGTGTTCTACAATACCATGTTCCTGAGACCTATACATTCTAGGAAATAGAGTCATCATTTCTCCAATTCACTAACTGGTAAGTAGAATACAACAAGGAAGAAAGTAGTAACAGATATCTGTAGTTATTTGAAACTCGACAACTACGTAGATTTAGATAAGATTTTGGAGATATCCCTTGTAATACTCATAACCTTAACACTCAGCTACCCCAAATTTCAGGAGCCAAATAGATTTGGTTAGGAAGTAAAACTTTGGTTTCATCTGGGTTGAGGACTGCTCCTGGGAATTGCTTTGACATGCCTTTGTCTCTGACTTCGTGGGCGACCTTAGGTAAATTTCTTAATCTGATTCTTCATCTGCCAGTGGATGGAGGTGATAAGCCCTATTCTTACCTAGTACATAGAGTTGTTGCACATAAAATGAAATCATGTAAAAATTAACTCAGTTCTGGGCTCGGCCTCATTAGAAGATTAGGAGCTTAACCTTGAGCTCTTAAAGAAGTGTTTCAACAAGCACATGTTCCTTCTAGGATGGATTGCATGTGCAGCATTCGCTTCTTAAAAAAGAGAAAAGGAAAGCCAAATGACTATACTTTGCCATTTTATGTACTTTCTTTTGTGTGTGTGTTTTACAGTGCAATGTGTGAACCTCCTACTTTCTGTTTTAAAACTTAGGATTTGGAGAGACACTTACTTCTAACTTCCTCTTTTCTGAATTAGGAAGAAACATTTTTTTTATTTTTTTTTTATTTATTTATGATAGTCACAGAGAGAGAGAGAGAGAGGCAGAGACACAGGCAGAGGGAGAAGCAGACTCCATGCACCGGGAGCCCGATGTGGGACTCGATCCCGGGTCTCCAGGATCGCGCCCTGGGCCAAAGGCAGGCGCCAAACCGCTGCGCCACCCAGGGATCCCGAGGAAGAAACATTTTGAAATAAAATGATCAAAATATGTTCTAGGGTTCTCTCTCTCTTTTTTTAAGATTTTATTTATTTATTCATGAGAGAGAGAGAGGCAGAGACACAGGCTGAGGGAGAAGCAGGCTCCTTGCAGGAAGCCTGATGTGGGACTCGAACCCAGGAATCCGGGATCACTCTCCCAGCCAAAGGCAGGCACTCAACCACTAAGCCACTCGGGCATCCCTATTCTAGGGTTCTTAATCATAAATTTCAGAGCATAGGATTCTTGAAGACACAGTATGTTTAGCACCCATATCTTAATGTTTAATTGAAGTAGTTAAATCCTTATGAAAGAAGTAACATTTATTTAACCTTTTAAAAGGTTTAATGGTTATGTTAACCATTTAACATTGTACAGTGCTACAAACATGTTAGGAAATATACACTGGATCATTTAGGGTTAAAGGAGGAGGAGTGTCTTCCACTGTCAAATCAGAAGAAATAAAAATAATAATATAGAAAGATAGTGATAGATATCAAACATTTCATGATCTTATGAAGAGATAGAAAATGAAAGATAATTTTCCCATTTGAGTCAAAAGCTATTGTTGAATCCAGCCTGTGTGCCAGTGACAATGTAACACTTATTAAACTTATGTGGTTCCTGTCAAACTTTCGTTGAGATTTTATTTAATTGTACATTTCATCTGTGTGCCACTTTATATGAATTAGTGATATTAGGGGTTTTTTAAGTTTAATGTGGTTTAAAAATACGCTTTTATAGGATTTTCAGTGAAAACTTGGTAGTCAAGACCTAAGATTGATAATAAAATTTTATTTTGTCTTAATAGATATGTATTATCTGCAGCCCAGAAAGATTGTCAAGATTTAACTAGCCGATGATATAAAAACTAAACTGATGTCCAGTATAAAATAGTTTTTGGTTGTATTTAACAAAAGCAAACATTTTGTTAATCCTTTTTTCCCCTCACCTCTCACAGCTTGGTGACCCAGCTATTTTTCCTGCTGTAATTGTGGAACATGTTCCGGTGCTGACATTCTCAATAGTTACGCAGGTCTAGCCTGTGTGGAAGAGCCCAATGACATGATTACTGAGAGCTCCCTGGATGTCGCTGAAGAAGAGATCATAGATGATGATGACGACGACATCACGCTTACAGGTGTGTGTGCGCCTCCAGCAGCACCTTACCTCAGCACAATTTTGGGCAGTATCCTTGCCCTGTGATTTTGGGGACGTAAGAAGTCCCTAACTGGGTTTTAAGTGACTTCATCATCTACAGAGGCTAGAGCCCTGCAGGGAGAAGGAAATTATATTTTCTCTCATCTACCTGTGTTACATAGTGCTTTCTCACCTCCCCTTTCCTCTTTCCTAAATGTACTGAGTTGAATGTGACAAAATAGATATGTAAGAAGAACCAGACCAACTGAATTCGTCAGGTATTCACTGAGCACTTTTTTTTTTTATAAATTAATTTTTATTGGTGTTCAATTTACCAACATACAGAATAACACCCAGTGCTCATCCCATCAAGTGTACCCCTCAGTGCCTGTCACCCATTCACCCCCACCCCCCGCCCTCCTCCCCCTCCACCACCCCTAGTTCATTTCCCAGAGTTAGAAGTCTTTATGTTTTGTCTCCCTTTCTGATATTTCTCACACATTTCTTCTCCCTTCCCTTATATTCCCTTTCACTATTATTCATATTCCACAAATGAATGAGAACATACACTGTTTGTCCTTCTCCGGTTACTGTGGCCAAGTTCAAAAAGGGTGTTGCCTGAGTTCTCCTCTGGGATTTTGATGGGATCTTGTCTCACATTTAGATCTTTCATCTATTTTGAGTTTATCTTTGTGTATGGTGCAAGAGAGTGGTCCAGTTTCATTCTTCTGCATGTGGATGTCCAATTTTCCCAGCACCATTTATTGAAGAGACTGTCTTTCTTCCAATGGATAGTCTTTCCTCCTTTATCGAATATTAGTTGACCATAAAGTTCAGGGTCCACTTCTGGGTTCTCTGTTCTGTTCCATTGATCTATATGTCTGTTTTTGTGCCAGTACCACACTGTCTTGATGAACACAGCTTTATATGCCACACTCTGTATTCTTGTTAACAATGAAAAGTTGTTTGTAGGGAACAACATAGGAATGTTCTTCTTTACTGCTGTCACAGGAGGCAAAATAGGAGGCCATGACCCAAATATAGGATAAGGTACTAGGGTTTAAAGAAGATTTCTCTTCTGGTTCAGTCAGAACTAGTAACATATTTGAAACGTGAAGAGTTCACTGTGTAAGTGTGAGATAGTGGTAATGCTTTTTCATCAGTTTTAGGAATTGGTACATGGATTTGAATTTTTTTTTAAAGATTTTATTTATTTATTCATGACAGACATAGAAAGAGAGAGATTGAGAGAAAGAGAGAGGGGCAGAGACACAGGCAGAGGGAGAAGCAGGCTCCATGCCAGGAGCCCGACATGGGACTCCAGGACCAGGTCCTGGGCTAAAGGCAGGCGCTGAACCACTGAGCCACCCAGGGATCCCCTGGATTTGAATTTTTATACATTTACATTCATTTCTCTTGGCCAGAGGTGTTGGAGGTATTTGAGAAAATTACTTACTGGGAAGCAAAGGTTATTTGAATATTTATTCTTAAATTTAAAAAGAATAGGAAATTAACATAGCCATAATGTTATTAACTAAATCTACACTTTATATGTATGCCAACCATTTCAAACTAATGTCCTTTTTCTGTTTCAGTATCTTATCTACAGTCTTACTCTATATTTAGTTATTTCTTTTTAGTCTCTTGTAGCCTATAACAGTTCCTCTGGCTCTCTTTGTCCCTCAGGCATGTTGACACTTTCAAGGAGTACATTATATTGTGTCCCTTAATTTTATTTATGTGATATTCACTCATGAGTGGACTGAAATAATGCCTTTTGAGCAAGAATACAACAAAATGGCACTGTCTCCTTCTAAGTGCATCATATTAACATAGTAGATTTAATTTTATTTTTTTAACATAGTAGATTTTTAAAAGTTCATTATCTCATTTAATTCTCAGAACAGAAAAAGAAAAGTAGAGAGGTTAAATGAAATGACTTGCATAAGATCACGTATCATGTGACTGAGTCCCCACTGATAACATTGACAAACAACACTTAGTTTTTGTATTGTCCTCTGTTTTTTTTACAAAGCCTGTTCTCCTGTATTCACATTTTTTGTTTAGAGGAACCCAAATGAAAGTATTTTGATATATCTAGACTTAGCAGATTTTTCCTTATCAATTAGGGAATTAGATTGATCGATGAGACGTTTCCATTCATTACTGGTGGCAGATTGTGTGTTTTGTATAACAGAATGATCATCACTGTGCATATATCCTTTGTGTAGCTGTGGGTTTTTTTTTTAATTTTTTTTTTATTTATTTATGATAGTCACACACACACAGAGAGAGAGAGAGGCAGAGACACAGGCAGAGGGAGAAGCAGGCTCCATGCACCGGGAGCCCGACGTGGGATTCGATCCCGGGTCTCCAGGATCGCGCCCCGGGCCAAAGGCAGGCGCCAAACCGCTGCGCCACCCAGGGATCCCAGCTAGTGGGTTTTTTGCAGTATATTTTGTCATAACTTCTTGATGCCTTAATGTAAGGCTACGCTGTCTCTGTAGGTTGGGAATGAGAGTCTCCCCTAAAGGCGTGTTTATTCCTGGTTTTAGTCATCAGCGTGGTCCTCAGAGAAGGAATTGAGACTTAGGAAAGCAGATCTTAGATCTGTAGGAGAAAGAATTGCTTCTTTCTTTCAGTGTTCCATTCTCTTGGGCTTGGACTTAAAGATAACTGATGGCAAGATACAAACAGGCCCCTTCCTTCCTGGAAAGTAGAACTGGTATTGAACGGGTCTGGACAACAAGCTGTATCTTGAAAACCAGATTTGCTATTTGCATATTCTCCCTCCCCTTTCTTATTTCCCAACCTGAGCCTTTAACTCTTCCATCCTTGTTTGAGCAATGTCATAAGAAAGTGAAGAACCTTGTAGCCCTCCTAAGTTCAGAGTGAGAGAAGGAAGAATGTTGTGTTTCTCAGAAACTACCGGGGAAGAAAGAGATAGGGAAAGAAGAGTTTATAAACTGTACATGTGAGTCCTATGTTGCACTTCAGATGATATTAAGGAATTTTTTTTTAAGATTTTATTTATTTATTCCTGAGAGACACAGAGAGAGAGGCAGAGGGAGAAGCAGGCTCCATGCAGGGAGCTGGATGTGGGACTCAATCCCAGGACTCCGGGACCACGCCCTGAGTGAAAGGCAGATGCTCAACTGCTGAGCCACCCAGGCATCCCGATATTAAGGAATTATTATTAGTATTTTTAGGTATGACAATAACATGCCATACACACGCTAAAATATTTAGAGATAAAATATGATGTCTTAGATTCCTTCAAAATAATCTGGGGAGTGGGGGTGGGGTGTGTGCAAGGGGACCTTGGGGGCAGTAACTGGAGTATAAATGAAAGAAGATTAACCATGTGTTGATAATGGTTAATGCTGAGAATGGATATGTGAGAATTCCTTATACTATGTTCCATAATTTTGATTTTGTTTGAAATCTCCAGTAATAGAAAGATTGAATTATTTTTATGGATTTGAGGCTTCTGTTAGACTGTAAGTGTCATCTCTATGCCCTGATTTCAAATTTTCATGTTCATCAAAACACTTTCATTTTTATCATCGGTCGATCTCATATCAAGTTTGATGTATATTTGAACCTATAAAGTAAATGTATAATGGTAAAATACCACTTTTATCTATATGTTGGAGTTCCACATAAGGTTTCATTTTGAAAAGGTTATGGTGTTAACAATTTTTTAAAATGATTTGATCACGAGTTCTTTGTATGTGGAGATTCTTCTTCCATTGCCAATCTTTGAAGATCTAAAAGTAAAATTAACGGAGGTGGTGCAAATTATATTTTCTCAAATAGAAGGTAACCATAATGACTGTACTCATTAGTAAGTCTTGTTTAATAGTGGTTTTTTTAAGATTTTATTTATTAGAGAGAGCTTGTATGTTGAGAGAGAGAGGAGGAGCAGGAGCAGAGGCAGGAGCAGAGGAAGAGGGAGAAGTAGACTCCCTGCTGAGCAGAGAGCCTGATGCAGGGGCTCCATCCCAGGACCCTGGGATCATGACCTGAGTTGAAGGCAGACACTTAACCGATTGAACCACCCAGGTGCCCCTCGTTATTAAATCTTATCTTTTAAATAATACTATTATGTCTCTTTCATATGTATTCTTGTCTGTTTTTATAAGATCAAATGCAATTTTTAGTAATTTATAATAATATAAAATATATTTAATTAATTATTCCCTAAATTATTATAGTATCTATGCTTTCTGTCCTTGGTGTAAATAGATTTTAACTAGTTGCTAGGTCACAGCTAATGTTACAAAAAGAAGTTTAATTTTAATTAAAAAATTTTTTTTAATTTTTTTTTTACAAAGACGTTTTAAAATGCACATATTAAAAGCTTGTGGGTTTACTATTGCCAAAAGAAATTTTTGGCATCCGTTTAATGAAAGGCTAACATTTTCTTAATGTCTTTAAAAGGCAGATGTATTTTTTTGGTTTTCTTTCCTGTTTTATGTAGGACTTACCCATTTATTTTCCTTTTCTCAATCTAAGCAAATGAAGCTGCATGAAATAAAGTTTTACAAACTAACAATGATACTAAACATATTTAACTTGCCTCATATTTTTTAAATACAAAAGGTGACATGATTTCTGTATTTATGGCTGTGAAATGATTTCTACTGTATAATAAGTTAAAAAAGGCAAAGATCAGGTAGCATAAATAGTATATTACTTTTATTTAAGATAGAAAGGATATAAATAATGTGTCTTTGCTTATATTTTAAAAATATAAAGATAAATATAAAAGATATATCTCTTTTATAAATATAGAAGATAAATCCCAAAACTAATAAAAATGGTTTTTTACAGGGAAAAGGAAGGGACAGGGATGAAAGGTAGATTTTCTAAATACACTTTGTTATGTCATTTTAACTTTGGAACCCAGTAAACATTTAACATAATGATAAAACAACACTAGGTCCAAAAGAGGAAAAATTAGCAATCTCTAAAAATTGAAGCACACTAAAACAAATGAGCCTAATTACATTATTGAGGAGTGGCATAACCATTAAAAGAAGAATTACTTAAAGTGATCTTTTTAAAAGGTTTATTTAGGGAATCCCTGGGTGGCGCAGCGGTTTGGCGCCTGCCTTTGGCCCAGGGCGCGATCCTGGGGACCCGGGATTGAATCCCACGTCGGGCTCCCGGTGCATGGGGCCTGCTTCTCCCTCTGCCTGTGTCTCTGCCTCTCTCTCTCTCTCTCTCTCTCTCTCTCTCTCACTGTGTGCCTATCATAAATAAATAAAAAAAATTAAAAAAAAAAAAGTTTATTTATTTATTTATTTATTTATAGAAAATGAGCGGGGGAGGGGCAAAAGGAGAGGATTGAGAATCTTAAGCAGGTTTCACACCCAGCATGGATTCTGACTTGGGGCTCAATCTCACAACCCTGAGATCATGACCTGAGCTGAAATTAAGAGTTGGACACTTAACTGACTGAGCCATCCTGGCGCCTCTAAAGTTATTTTTAAGGCTATGCATTTCCTAACAGGAAATAGCCTAAAAGGCAAAAAAATAAAAATAAAGCTGCTAAGAAATCTTAAATTGGTTTCAGTAATTACAACTTGTGTGAGTGTGTACATATGAGAGAGATGTTAGGGTAAAATGAAACAAATAATGACGTTAATGTCCTAAGAAGCCAAGGTTTATAGAGTAAAACTCGATATACAAATGTTAAATTACAACGTTAAATAAAAATTCTGTAATCCTATAGAGTCTACATAATTACATGGTATAAATATATAATTCTAGAAATAAATTTTATAATGCTAAATTTGAATTGAAAATATTAGTATGAACTCATGATCTGTTTTCTTTAAAAGGACAAAGACAAAATATTTTTTAGTCAAACATGCGACGACTTAAACATTAATGAGGACAGTAACTAATGGATTAAAGTAGATCTGTTTATTTTTTATTTATAAAATTCATTTATTTGAGAGAGAGAGAGAGAGAGCAGGGAGAGGGATAGAGGGAAAGGGAGAGAGAAACCAGGCTGACTCTGCGCCAAGCGAGGAGCCTGACTCAGGGTTTGATCCCGTGATCCCAACCAAGATCATGACCTGAGCTGAATCCAAGAGTCAAATGTTCAACTGACTGTACCACCCAGGCACCCTGAAGTATATCTAATATGTTTAAATCTGTGATCTCATAATGATATACGCACATAAAAATGGTCACTAATAAATGATGCTAATAACTATTTTTGAAAACTAACAAATATGATTAAGAAGCAAACATTTATTTTCCTTTTCCTGTTTGAATTATATCACTGAGTAACTAGATTATTAAATGAGATTATTAAATAACTAGATTATTATTCTCTTTATAATGTTATTCCAGCTAATCATCACATATAAAAAATAGCCTTCCCCCTAAAATTTCAGTGGAATTTGTTTGAGCCTTCAGAACTGACTACCAATTTAAAGAAGATACAGAAAAACATTTAAACTACACAAAGGGAGTAGAATCAGCAAAATCTAGATTGTGGGGAATCTACAAGACAAGCAGCCTAACTTCTTCATTGATTGCAAGGAAAAAAGATGGAGGGGGGACATAGAAATGAAAAGAAACTTAAGAAATGTATCATTCATTTGCACTGTGAGAACCTTGTTTGAAACTTGATTCAAACAACAACTATCAACCCTCCCCCTGCCACCTGCCATTTATATTTCAGACAGTTGGACATTTGTATGCTATTTGATATTAAGGAAATACTGATTTTTTTTAAATGCTTGATGATAGTATTGTGTTTATGTTTGTTTCTTTTTTTAAGATTATTTATTTATTTATTTATGAGAGACCTAAAGAGAGGCAGAGACACAGGCAGAGGGAGGAGAAGCAGGCTCCATGCAAGGAGCCTGATGTGGGACTCAATCCTGGGAATCCAGGATCACGCCCTGAGCCAAAGGCAGACCCCTCAATCTCTGAGCTACACAGGCATCCCATGTTTATGTTTTCAAAACAGAGCCCTTATCTTTTAGACATTGTAAAAGTTTTACTACTTAAATATTAGGATGTGTAGAATTTATAATAAAATATTGAGGAAGAGGTGTGCATATAGATAAAATGGGATAGGCCATGAGTCGATAATTCTTAAAGCTGGGTGATAAATACACTGTAGTTCAGTGTATTATTCTGTTTATGTTTGAAAATGTTTAAAATTCTTCAAAATAATGAATGTATTTAAAATTCCTCAAAGTAGTGTACAGGTTATCGTTTCTAACTATATTTTCCACTAAGGATCCCAGGTTAGCTAGGAGAAACTATTTGTTCTAGGTTTGGGGCAGGAAATGTACAAGAATAGCCTGCAACATCTTATCATCCCAGGAGGCATGAAGCTATCAAAAATTATTCAAGTCATCTCTAAAAGACCCAGGCCCCAGCTTTAGTTCCCAGTGGCTGAAGATGGGACATTTAGAGGATCATTAAGAATTACAACTGCAAAGGACTGAAGAACATCAATTATGTTAAAACCTATGTATTTAAAATTATACTAAAAAAATAACTGTCACTTACAGAAGATGCCAAAGAAGCCCACTTATTATTCTGAAAATATGTGTATATTTTTAATTTTTTTTTATTAGGAAAACCTTGACAGGAATGCCTGGGTGGCTCAGCAGTTGAGCATTTGCCTTTGGCGCAGGTCGTGATCCCCACGTCCTGGGATGGAGTCCCACATCGGGCTTCCTACGAGGAGCCTGCTTCTCCCTCTGCCTATGTCTCTGCCTTTCTCTCTCTCTGTGTCTCTCATGAATAAATAAATAAAATCTTAAAAAAAAAAAAAAGGAAAAGCTTGACAAATAAGTGGTTTGAAATTCGTTTTTTTCTTAAGCAGTAGGCAACTAAATTATTATATAAACTAATTTTATCATTTTCGTCTACCCAGCAGACTTTGAAATGTTTTATAAAACTTGCTTATGTAAATAAATATATAAATATTTAAAAGATGATAATTATTGAGTTATCTATGCCTTATTTGATTTTTTAGAAATTTACTTTTAGTAGTATTCCTCAATTCAGAGAATTTCAAAGCCTTGACATAGGAGGAATATGCTTTTTACTAAGCCTTAAATTAGCAAGATTTTAATAACAGGCTTAAGTTTTTATTTTTAAAATTTTTGTAATTTTCATTTTTTTAAGTAAGTTCTACACCCAACATGGGGTTTGAACACACAACCCTGAGGTTAAAAGTTACATGCTATACCAGCCGAGCCAGCCATGCACCCCAGAGGCCTAAGTTTGTTTTTTTTTTTTTTTTAAGATTTATTTATGTGAGAGAGAGTGCATGTGCAAGAGTTGGGAGGGGCAGGGGGAGAAAGAAAGAAGCAGGACATCCTCCCCCACACCCCCACACTGAGCTCTGAGCCTGATGCAGAGCTCTCGATCTCGAGACTCTGAGATCATGACCTGAGCCAAAACCAAGAGTTGGATGCTTAACCGACTGCCACTCAGGTGCACCCCCGAGTGGCATATAATTATTATTTATAATAATTTATTTATTCTAGAGAGATCATGAGCAGGGGGGAGGGGTAGAGGGAGAGAAGCCTGGGTAGCTCATTTGGGTAACTGTCCCAGTCTTGATCTCGGGGTTGTGAGTTCAAGTCCCATGTTGGACTCTCTGCTGGTGTGGAATATACCTTAAAAAAAAATTTCAATAGTCATATTCCATATAGATTTTTATCTGCTGATACAAAGTATGTATGTAAACCCAAGTATTAAGTGATGTATCCTAGTTCAAGAGATCAAAATCTGTGTGTTTTTGAGCAACAGAGGTCTTGTAGCTAACTCATGTTTTCTTCATATAGTTGAAGCATCCTGTCCTAATGGGGATGAAACAATTGAAACTATCGAGGCTGCTGAGGCACTCCTCAATATGGATTCTCCTGGCCCTATGCTGGATGAAAAACGAATAAGTGAGTGATCATGTGCTATGATTGTTTGTATTAATATACTTTGAAAGGTTAGATGGCAAACATCAAGAGACGAGAGATCATGTTTCATATGTTTTGTGTCCCAGACTCATTTTAAAGTACAGTAGTAGTTGAGACAGCTTTGCTAAAGTATTCAGTTAAACAAGACTTTTTCTGTTTTAAAATTGGGGAGTGAGACCTTTAGGAATAAAAAGTAATTTATTTAGTTGTCAAATAGCAGATTAAGGAGAGTTTATTCTCGTAACCTTATTGGTGTACTCAGTAGGGTATTTATGGCCCAAACTATTCTAATTTAATGATCTCTATGGGTATTCATCAGTGAAATAGGCAAAAATTCATTGAAAAAATTTATAACACTTCGTGGCAGAAAATTCACTGCCACATTATTGATCTGCTTTTAAATCCATGTTCTTCTGTAAGCTTTTCTGACAGAGTGTCAAACTCATAAAATTAACACTAAATGTATTTAAGTTGTTGAATATTTTCTGTATGCATAGCAGTGCATTATGCAGTAATGTGATATACAAAAGAACAGATAACTTTTTTTCCTCAAGTTTACAAATTAATTTTGAAGATAGTTGTTTATGTAAATAACTGTAAAAGCCAAAAACAAAGGCCATGGGAGAGATGGCAAAGTGTTCTGGAAGAAAAGAGTTCTCTGGCTAAGATTATCAGAGACCACCTTTATGGAAGGAATGTTTTAACTTGGGCTATAAAAGACAAATAAGTTTTTAGTGAATAGAGGAGATAGAGGTGGGCGTTTAAGAGAGAGAATGGGTTGAGCCAAGGAAACAGACCTGTAAAAAAGTGAAATGTTTGAGATAAAAATGCTTTGGTATAGGTAAAGTGTAAGCTTTGTGGTAGGTGGGAGATGAGAGTGGAATGGTAGCTTTGATCTAGATTGTGCAAGCTTCAAATGTCATGCTGTGGAGGGGTTGTTCTTATCGTTTTTTCCCCTGTAAACTATGCAAAAAGTCAATTTTATTTTTCTAATAATTTTCAGGGTGTAAAGTTTTATAGAGAAGAATTATATGGTCAAATCAGACTTGGGTTTCAGAGAATAACTTTAGCAACAATGAGAGAAGAATGGAGAAGAAAAACAAGATGGATTGATAATAGGAAGTCAAGTAAGGAGGACATTGAATTAGTCCTGTTGAGCCTCGTCTGACTTAGGGTGCCTGATTTAGGACAGAAGGAATAAAAAGGGACTGGATTTTAAGATTTTTATTTCTACTTTAATCTTTATAGAAACAGGAAATTATCTGATTAAATTATTTTGATTTATAATACAAAGTTGATAATTAGTTGATTTTATTTCCATTAGATAATAATATATTTAGTTCATCTGAAGATGACATTGTTGTTGCCCCAATCACCCATGTATCCGTCACATTAGATGGGATTCCTGAAGTGATGGAGACTCAGCAGGTTCAGGAGACATATGCACACTCACCAGGCGCATCATCACCAGAACAACCTAAGAGAAAGAAAGGTGGGTGGTTAATTCGTTGAGAGCAAATAGTCAAGTTCTGATGTGGAATCTAAATGTAATTTTTCTTCAAGGATATTTCTACACCAATTAAAACTTACATAAGAAAAAATGAGGATACAAAGCATACACTAAAAAGTATGTCTTCATATTAGATTTGTGAAAAAATTAGATTATTTGGTGGGTCTCTCAGAAATGGGGTTTTCCAACTTTTTAAAACTTCAGTCTTTTATCTAAACTCTTTTATTCAAAATCAGAAAGAGCCTGGAGCAAGGGCAGTTAGCTTCTAGCTTCCTTCCACATAGTTTGAAAACCATGGGCATAGATTCCAACATAAGGAACCAGTAGGAAAAATAATGAGTTGTAAATCAGCAGGTAAGTAAATTAGACTTAAATTTCAAAGGAAATTTGTCACTTTTCACACATTAGGACCATATCTGCATACTAAAGTCTGATACTCTTTCCATTTCATTGCCTTTTGGTTTTTTGTTTGTTTGTTTTTTGTTTTTAAAGATTTTATTTATTCATGATAGAGAGAGAGAGAGAGAGAGAGAGGCAGAGACACAGGCAGAGGGAGAAGCAGGCTCCATGCAGGGAGCCCAACGTGGGATTCGATCCCGGGTCTCCAGGATCGCGCCCTGGGCCAAAGGCAGGCGCTAAACCGCTGCGCCACCCAGGGATCCCTTCATTGCCTTTTGATTCTCCTCCAGCTTGTGTAATATTTTGAGTTTAATATGTTGATTAATCACCAGCCACCTAGTAACCTGATTTCACATGAAAGAAAGTCCAGGAGCCAAGAGTGAAGAGGAAAATAAAAACACTAAGGGTTAGCTGAGGCTGCAGCATCTCTGAAGGGCTTAGATGAGTATGTCAGTTTGATTGTCCCTACAGAAGCAGATGCCTACGTTTTGGGCCAGTGCAAGAAGAGGTATTAGAGATCCCAGCATGTCATTGGGATCCTTGAAAGTCTCTCTCCTTCTGGGAAAAATTCTGTACCCATTGACACAGGATAGGTGTCAAGGAAGTTTGTATTTCTCAGGTGGGGCTCTGAGAGGAGAAATTCTTTCTGTGAGAATTTTTACTCATAGGCTTACTTTAACCTAGGTTTATGATTAGATTTTAAACTATCACTGACTTAGAAATTCCCAGCCAAGTAATTAACATAAAAAGTGGCCTAGACTGGCAATAACTCTGGGCTCTTATATAACACTGCTCTGGCAAGTCATACATTTAAACCCAGGCTGCACTGAATTTCCTCAAATAAAGCCCTGTTGAAGGCGAGCTCACATTGCAGTATTACAGAATACATAAGGAAGATAATCCCTGAATGTGAAGCAGAAGACATAGAAGATTCTAGGATTAGTTCTCTAAGAACTTTAGATAATAGAATTAGGAAATAGAAACTTTGAGTGAATAGAACTACAACTAATAAGACAAAAGAATGAAAAACAAGGTCAGAGAATGATTATTAGGAAATACCAGGTGGAACTTCTCTCCTAGACAAGATGGAATAACAGAACCTGATTTGGCATTGATTACGGGATATGACAACAAAAACAAAAATTAGTAAGCGGGACTATATTAAACTAAAAAGCTTCTGCACAGCAAAAAAAAAAAAGAAAAAAGAAAAAAAAACTTAATATAATGAAAAGGCCACCTACAGAATAGGAAAAATATTTGTAAGCCATAAAAGAATTAATATCCAAAATATATAAGGAACTCATACAACTCAATAGCAAAGAAGACAATCAGATTAAAAAATGGACGGAGTACGTGAATAGACATTTTTCTAAAGACTTACAGATGGCCAATAGGTACATGAAAAGAGCCTCAACATTAATCATCAGGGAAATGCAAATCGAAACCACAGTATGCTATCACCTCACACCTGTCACAATGGAGATCATCAAAAAGGCAAGCGATAACAAGTGTTGGCAAGGATGTGGAGGAAAAAACCCTTGTGCATTGTTAGTGGGAATGTAAATTGGTACAGTCACTATGGAAAACAGTATGGAGTTTCTTCAGAATGTTAAATCTACAAATACCCTATGATCTAGCAGTCTTACTTTTGGATATATTTCAAAAAGAAATGAAAATGAGATATCAAAGTGATACCTGGACTCTCATGTTCTTTGCAGGATTGAAAAATATAGAGAGACCTTGAGGGGCATTATGCTAAGTGAAATAAGAGAAAGACAAATATACTGTGTGCTATCACTTTTATGTAGAATCTGAAGTAGCCACTTGTAGAGGCAGAGTGAGAAATTGTGGTTGCTGGCTGGTGGAAGAATGGGGAAATGTTCATCAAAGGGTACAAACTTCCAGTTATAAAATGAGTGAGTTCTGGGGATCTAACATACAGCATGCTGACTTTGGTTAACAAGACCATATTACATACTTGAAAGTTGCTAAAAGAATAGATCTGAGGCAGCCTGGGTGGCTCCGCGGTTTAGCGCCGCCTTCAGCCTGGGGCATGATCCTGGAGACCCGGGATCGAGTCCCACGTCAGGCTCCCTGCATGGAGCCTGCTTCTCCCTCTGCCTGTGTCTCTGCCTCTCTCTCTCTCTCTTTCTCTCTCTCTCTCTCTCTGTGTGTCTCATGAATAAATAAATAAAATCTTAAAAAAAAGAATAGATCTTAAATGTTCACATCCAAAAAAACCAAGTAATTATTATGTGAGGTGATGGTATGTTAGCTAACCCTACTGTGGTAATCATTTTACTACACAGAGTATCAAATCATCACATTGTGTACACCTTAAACCTACACAGTTATATGTCATTATATCTCAATAATGCTGGAAAAAGATTTTAACCCTTCCCCAAACCTGGATTTACCCTCCTGTTAAAATACAATGTATGAAACAGTGCTGCTAAAGAAATAGAACATTAGTCAACAAAGGCAAGTGACCCTGAGAAATGGGAAACAAATGAGATGACCCCACCTTATTGCATGAAGAAATATTTCTTTGATGATCCCACCTTACTGCATGAAGTATTATTTTAAGATTCTGTTTATTTGAGAGGAGAGGAGAGAGAGAGAGAGAGGCGTGTGTGCATAAAAGCAAGGGGGATTGCATAGGGTGAGGGAGAAGCAGACTCCTTGCTGAGCAGGGAGCCCGATACGGGGCTTGATCCCAGGACCCTGTGACCATGACCTGAGCCAAAGGCAGACACCTAACCAGCTAAGCCACTCAGGTGCCCCCTAATTTTTTTTAAAATAGTTTGGCAGTTTCTTAAAACCTTTAATGCATGACCCAGCCATTCTTCTACTCAGTATTTACTGAAAAGAGATGAAGCCATAAAGGGAGCATGGGTGGCTTAGGCGGTTAAATGTCTGCCTTTGGCTCAGGTCATGATCTGGGAGTCCTGGGATCCAGCCCCAGGTCTGTCTCCCTGCTCAGTGGGGAGCCTGCTTCTACTCTCCTCCTGCTCTTCCCACGAACCCCCCCACCCCCGCCCAGCTCTGCTGTCTCTGTCTCTTGCTCACTCTCTCTCAAATAAATAAAATCTTAACAAAAGAAGAGAGATGAAGCCATGCATTTAAAGAAAAACATAGGCATAAATAAATGTTCTTAGTAGTTTTATTTACAGTAGTCCCAAACTTGAAACAACTCACATGTCTATCAGCTGCTGATAGGATAAACAACTTTGTGGTATATCTATACAATGAAATACCACTCAGCAATAAAATAGAATGCGCTATTGATAAAAATGGATGAATCTCAACATAATTATGCTAAAGGAAGGACGCCAGACTTACATATAGATGTGTAAATATATGTTTCTCTTTATATAAATTGTGGGAACTGCAAACTGACCTATAAGGACAGAAAATGTGTGAATAGTTGGCTACCTTTGGATTGGGCAGAATGGGAAAGGTGTAAGGAGTACAGAGGGGTACAAAGTACTTTTGGGGGTGAAGAATATGTTCACTGTTTTGGACATAGTGATGGTTTCACAGGTCAATACTTATTTTGAGGATACCAAATTACAGATTTTAAACATATGCAGTTTCATTGTATGTCTGTCACAATTGCTTCTCGGCCTTTTGGCTAAGATCAAGTGCATTGTATGTCTGTCATACTTCAGTAAAGCTGATTTTAAAATGAAGGACTAACATCCTAATTAATATTGGAAGACTGATGTGATAAGGAACCGAATAGAATACATTATAATTGAGTTGAACAGCTGATTAGTCACTAGTTTAAAAGAGAATTAGCTCCAATATAGACCTGACATGGAATAAAAAATATCAAAGAGTTTGAGATAAAAGGATTGAATGAAAAAGTCTACATGTTTGATCAAAACCCCAGAAAGAGGGAATATGTAGAGCAGGGAGGAGGTGGTATTCCAAGGAGTTTTCCAAAATGACATAAACTTCACATGGTGAATCTTGAGTAGTATAACTCAAATCCAACATCAAGAATATTCCTCCGCATTTTAAGAAAGCACTGTCAGTTTGGTTACCTCAAGGTGTTTTCAACTATCCTCATATTTATAAATGAGCCAGTATATCATTTCCTACATTAAAGTGTTTGTGAACTAATCTACACTAATGATAAATTTTCAGCGAAGTTATTTTCCTTTTGAGTAACATTTTTTTTTTAGTAAATAACATTTTAGGAAAGCAATACATATGACCCATGTATAAAGTATTTGGCATTTGAAATTTAGGATAAATGACCAAATAGTATTTATAAACAGCTAAATTGTCCATTCTCTCACTTTTGAGGGCAAATACTTAGGCAGAGCTGTTCTGTTTTCAGGGAGAAAAACAAAACCTCCACGACCAGATTCCCCAGCCACTACGCCAAACATATCCGTGAAGAAGAAAAACAAAGATGGTAAGGGTAAGTACAATAATTTTCGTATGATACTTAAAGGTCAAAGAACATTTAGATTGCTTTAAATTTCTATAAATTGTTATGTAAAATCTACCAGTTTTCTTGATGTAGTGAAATGGATCTTCTGGCTGCCACCTGCTTATAAGGTACAGTTGGCACTCTCTGTAAGGAGACTGGTAATAATGTAGCCCAAGAAATCCATTTAAGAGATTTTTTTTTATGTACCTGTCAGAATAATCCATCCTTTAATAATGAGTCTTCTGGAAGAATTCAGCCAAGTTAGCTTTTCAGTTCGAAGACACCTTATTACATTGTTTTGGAGTTCTACTATTTTCATAACTGCTGCCCAAATTTGAAGAAAATTGTTAGGGCCAATCCACTGGCTCTGAAATAAAGAAAGCAGCTATTGAAAGGTTTTGTGCAGTGCTTTTTCACTGATTCCTTTATGTAGTGGATCTTAAAGAAGTGGGGGAAAAGTCCTCTCAAAGTGCTTTCTTCTTAAATCATCACAGATTTAATTGCCAAGATTGCTCTGTCCAGACATCTTATACAAGCCTAATAAAAAGACCTATATTTGACTCTACAAATTTTCACCAGTGCTAGCTAAATTGTGTATTATTTTTGTATAGTTAGAGGGAACTTAGAAGACTTTTCATTGTGTTTAATTTTGCTCTTTCCAATGAAATTTTGGTCAGCTAAATTGCTTTTGTTTCAGGAAACACAATTTATCTCTGGGAGTTTCTACTGGCACTGCTCCAGGACAAAGCTACTTGTCCTAAATATATCAAATGGACCCAGCGAGAAAAAGGCATTTTTAAACTGGTAGATTCTAAAGCAGTATCCAGGTTGTGGGGAAAGCACAAAAACAAACCTGACATGAATTACGAGACCATGGGAAGAGCTCTCAGGTACATAAAGTTTTTGTAATTCATTCTGTTAAGAATATTGTTTCCTATATACTAAAAAGAAGATAATTTCTAAAAAGGTAGAGGATTAAAAAATGGTGAATTTTATAATTGAAGTGCTAAAACCACACTACTTATAGAAATCAGTACATATTTAAATTGAAATCTTATTCTGATCTGGGAAAATGTTTTTCTTCAAAAATAATCCTCAGGACGCCAGGGTGGCTTGGCAGTTGAACGCCTGCCTTCAGCCCAGGGCATGATCTTGGAGTCTCAGGATCGAGTCCCTACATCGGGCTCCCTGCATGGAGCCTGCTTCTCCCTCTGCCTGTGTCTCTGCCTCTTTCTCTGTCTCTCATGAATAAATAAATAAAATCTTTTAAAAAATCCTCATGGAAACAACAGATATTTTACTTATAAAGGGATTAGAAAATGTAAACTGTCATTAAGAATTATAAATTGACCACAGGGCTCATATGTTTTGAGCCATTAAACTCGAAATCAGCACAAAATTAACAAGTAATCGTAATATAGATAATAAGAGGGTGCATTTTTAAATGTAAATCTCAGGTATGATCTGTATTATGTTGGATTAAACACTTCAAGAATAATATTAGACATTGTGAACATTTTGATCTAGGTAGGGTATCATTTTATTCCTAAACTCATTTTTAGTTTGTTTTTCTGTGATCATGTTAATCTATTATTCAAGATACGCACCTATTTGAGAAAGATTTACTAGAAGTAGCAATCATCTGATAATGTAATAAGCTTCTTAAACCAGAACTATTTAGTTACTGTTGTGTTTGGTTTTTTTAAAACTCACACTTGCTAGATTCTTGATTGAATTAAAATCAGTGACAAAATTTGAATCACTTATATTTGTACATTAAATTTTATATGGAAAACTCAATCAGATTACTGAATCAAATTTAAACTGGTGGGACATTATAATAAACTATGGAAGGGAAATAAATTCTTGAAGTTTGTAGTAGATTTGATTATTCCAACAAGTTGGAAGAAGGGGAGACAAGAAAGTGAATGACTAGGATAATCCATATATTTTACCAATCCTCATCAGAATTGGTGTTAGGTTTAGTTGTTAGTGAGGATTTTTCTTTATCTGTGAATAAGTATGCATGTTTTACATATATTTAAAAAAGAATGTGTCTAATTATACTATCTTATATAAAATAACTGGCCCTTAATTTTGAATTTCTTTTCCCACTTGTGTCCAACTTTAAACTTTTTGTTTATTATTAAGAATTTAATATAATTTAAATTTGTTTAATTGAACAAACTATTGATAAAATTATCTGCTTTGAATAGGTACTATTACCAAAGGGGTATTCTGGCAAAAGTAGAAGGTCAGCGCTTGGTGTATCAGTTTAAGGAAATGCCAAAAGATCTTATTTATATAGATGATGAGGACCCAGGTTCCAGCATAGAATCTTCATCACTGCCATCACTGTCTTCAACAACCACTTCAAGTAGGAACCAAGCAAGCAGATCGAGAGTATCTTCAAGTCCAGGGATAAAAGGAGGAGCCACTACAGTTCTAAAACCAGGGAATTCTAAAGCTACAAAACCCAAAGATCCTGTGGAAGTTGCACAGCCATCAGAAGTCCTGAGGACAATGCAGCCTACACAGTCTCCATATCCTACCCAGCTCTTCCGGACTATTCATGTAGTACAGCCAGTACAAGCTGTCCCAGAAGGAGAAGCAACCGTAACCAATAGCATGCAGGATGAAACGTTAAATTCTTCTGTTCAAAGTATTAGGTGAGAAAACTAAAGTTATTGATGCATATCATTATGTCATGTTTCTGACCAGAGTTGTCATAAGTTAAATGGGTCAGGATTCAGAAGTGAAAATAAAAATTATATTGATCTTAAAGCTAGAAATCTTGTTCAACAGATTGTTTTCAGCATCAGTGTATATTATATCAGTCCTCTGATTGTATGGGAAATTCCTTATTTTTAAACCTTGTCATTACTTGATGTTATTCTATCAGTTTAAATCTAGCCCACTATACCCTTGTATAATTGGACTGATCCAGACAAGAAGGGATCCACATATTAGAAAAAATCCAGAGAATGGTTTCAGATCTTTTTTTCAAAGTCAGGAACTGTAAAAAGTGTACATTGATTGACATATCATGGCCTTCTGTAGTGAGTTCCAAGAAATAGCGTTATTCTTTGGGAAGATCCTATCATGGAACAGTTCTAAAGTTGAAATAGGTAGGGAGGCCATGAACCTAAGGTCCACTTTTTCAGGCTTTTAGAGTTTTTTAGCAGTCAAATCAAATTTGCCTCATGGCCCTAGGAAAGATAGGAAACAACAAATTGACCAAGGCAACCTTATCAGCTTTAGACTGGTTTTCTGCAGAAGTTGGGGCTGGTCTCACTGATACAGAATGGAGAAAAAGAAGCAAGGCAGAAAATTAGATGGGCGTTTGCAGTATTCTATTTTTCTTTTTCTACTATTGTGAGTTTCCAGAATATGAATTATAATAAAATATAGGAGCCCTCCCAAATCCAATAAAATGATTGTTTGATTACTGTTATTAGCTAACTTCAGTCTTAACATTTGTATATTCCAGAATATAAATGCCGAGTTTTTGTTCAGTTGATCTTGAAGTAATGAACATTACCCAGAATCAAGACAAAGTTAAATGATCCAGTCTTCCTTGTATGGTCCATTTAAACTTTTGGCATCATGAAAATAAACTTGTAAGGAGTATAAAGATTACATTTTTCCCATTTTAATTGGACAGGAATGATAAATCTTTAACTGTATTAAAGGAGTACTTATTTATCTCTATTTGCCCTTTAATAATGCATTTTCCTCTAGGTCTTATTGGTTATGTGTGATGACTGAGTATCTAATTGGATGTGATTCCTCCTGTTGGTTTCTAGGCTATTTATCATCTTACCATTATGTGTATTTGTGTTGATAGGAACAGTACATGGCCAACTGCTAATCACTAGGATCCTCTTGGAGTGATTGAGTTATTTTTTTTTAGCATCTGTAATCAGTTTGGTTTTTATGCCTTGAAGACAAAAACAAATCCCCTTCTTCCCCAGTAAAAAACCCTGCATACCTCTAGCTCTGAAAGGTATTAAATACTGATGTTTGTATTGGATGCAGTATTACTTTAAATGTCATTTCTGACTAATAGTGCCAGATATTAAAACACTCTAATATACCCCCCATCCATGATTTGCAAACTGTCTTTTGGTGTACTTTTCAGAATTTTTATTTCCAAGGTCCCTGATTATTCTGTGGACTCCCTGCCTGCTTCCTGCCTCTCAAATTTTTTCTCTTCAGTCCAACCCATATAAGACTCCTGGTCACAGCTTTGGTCTGTAACCTTCTTGCAGCTTTGTTAGCTCTGTGTTGCACATGGAGTGCAGTCAAATTTCTGGAGCTTCAGCTACCAGCTCTCTCTCTCTGCTTATGATTGCCTTCTAGCTAAAGCTGACCACGTGGGTGCAGCTCAGTCTGGTAAATGAACCAGGTGTTGCAGTTGACTTTAATGCTCATCTCCTCCTATATATTTAAATCTGTAGGAGCCACATTTTATTCATTGTCCTTCTCCTACCATTTAACATAGTGTCTGGCACATTAACATCCCTTCAGATTTATAGAACTTACTTTGAAGTAGTGTATATATTCATTCTTTATCTCCTCTCAGAGTAATGAGTTCTCCTAAGCGGACTGGTTATATAATGAAGTAACAAAATTTAACTTTTCAAATGTTAAAACATACTTCCTTGTTGAAGAATTTTATATTTATGTGTTTGTATATTCACACATTCTTAATCATTCCTTTGATTTAAAAAAATATTCTTTTGGTTGTATCTTTTATTTGTATCTCCCCCAAATCCTGCTTATTTTAAAGCAAAACCTTTTACAGACTACATTTTATTCCCTGAGATTACTAGATGTAGAAAGGCAAAAGTTAATGAATAAAAATATTCTTTGAAGACTGACAGCTGCTGAATATAATTCCTCAAGTTTTGCTGTTGTTCCTTTCCATTATAAAAGTGTTATGTAAATTTCAAGCAAATTATAAATATTACTCTGAAATACTAATGTATTACTAGAATCATTTTTCATTAGATTAATTCCTTGCTTAGCAGTTTCTTTATTTTTCATTTGTATTTTTTATAATTACCCCAACTTTTCATTATGGAAAATTTAAAAATTTTGACAGATTAAAATGGTACAATGAACACCTATTTACACCCCTCTAGGTTCACAGTTGATAGTGTTTTGCCGTATTTGTTTTCCCTCTATATATATTGATATCCTTTTTTCTGTTTGGCTATTTGTCAAGTAAGTTCACATTATTAATGCATTTCACTCCTAAACATTTTAACATACAGCTCTTAATAATAGAGAAATTATCCTAAGCAACCATATAATCACTCCTAATAAAAATAACAGTACTTTGGCTATATTTTTCCTAATTTTAAACTACTTATTAATAAAATCAAAGACCATTTAAAGATTTTTTTTTCGGTAGCTAAGAAAAGATGGAATATATATAGAATTATATCTTAAAAATAGATTTTTAAATTAATGTAACAACAGGAACTGACACTTTCAAAGCACTCTTTGTATTTCATACACTTTCCATATATTAATGTCTAATATCCTCACTGATCAATGAGATATAGGTAATATTATTCCTATTTTACAGATGAGGAAACCAAGGCAAGGAGAGGCCAAGGAGCCTGGTCACATCTAGTAAGTGGTGGAGACAGTGTTTTAATGCCAGCAGTTTAGTCCAAAGCAGTGAGCTTAATGATTTGCCACCCTGCCTGCTGATTCACATAACTCTCATGAATTACCAGTTATTTACAGTGAAGTAGCAACCTGTTTTTTCTCAATTTTTCCTATGCTCATGTCTTTTTATTGCACATAATTGCATGTATCTGTGTGGAAATCTATTATGCTTTTCTTAATTGATATATGGTATATGTGCTCAGTTTTTACAAATTTTGATTTTGACTCTGGCTTTGTGTTATTTAAGCAAACAACTACAATAAAAGCAAACCTCTCGCCAAATATTTTCCTAAAATTGTCCTTTGGTAAACTTGCAAGTCTGTATATCTACCTAGCATAACTTCTTTCTCTGTAATATTTATTCAAGCACTAATAGGTTATCTTAGGGTCTTTTAAATAAATTAGCCTCTAAAAATGTATAATGTGTAGGTTACCTTAAAAACAAAGTCATGGAGTAAGAAGAATGTATATAACTTTCCAGCCCTCCAACCTTGTCAATTATTAGATGTGACATTGAGTCGGAATAACTAACTATTCTGTTTCCTTATCTGTAAAATAAAGGTAACATGTAACTCTACAGGTGATTCTAACAATTAAATGACATTCCTGACATCTGAGCAGATATGCAGTAAAATCTAAATGTTATATCGCATATCTTTCTTAGTCTCAGAAAGTTTGAGGTATTTTAAATCTCGAATATTGTACCAGTGGTTACAAGCAGCTTAGGAAATTTTTATAAAGTAGTTAAGTATAATATAACCTTTGTTATATAATATAACATCACCAGATATAACTGACTGTTTAATCATTAAGAAAAAAATCTTCTGTGTTTGGGAAAAGGCTGCATAATATTTTACCTTTAATCTCTGAATTTTTTATTACCAAAAATTGGTTATTTTAGAATTTGTTCAAATAAGCCAGTATATTTACACTGTAGGTTATTATAGATGAGTATATATATTTTCTGACAGATGGCAGTCAGGTATTTTGAGAAAAAGATGTCTTCTTCTAGTTTGAACAAAAGCATTGAAAATCTAGTGGTAGCTCTGATTAGCAATGTGGAAAATGTCCAATTATTTTATTGCTTGTGGCATACCTGAGGGAAGAAAGAGGAAGAAAGGGTTGTGTATTAAAGGTGTGAAATTTAAATTAAATAAAATCTTTTAAAAAGGGTGGGCGGGGGGGATCCCTGGGTGGCTCAGTGGTTTAGCACCTGCCTTCGGCCCAGGGCGTGATCCTGGAGTCCCGGGATCAAATCAAGTCCCATATCAGGCTTCCTGCATGGAGCCTGCTTCTCCCTCTGCCTGTGTCTCTGCCTGCCTCTCTCTCTCTCTCTCTCTCTCTCTCTCTCTCTCATGAATAAATAAATAAAATCTTTTTTTAAAAAAAAGGTGTGAAATTGCCTACAGTTTAAGGATATAATAGACAATCTTCATCTTTAACTGAAGTTACTTATGACTGAAGAAGTGGCAGTGTATTGGAACGGTTAATCGCAGAGGCCTTGCAGTCAGGTGACCTCTTTTTCGTATCTAATTGGTCACCTTATGCTAGCTGTTCACTCTCTCTGTCCATTAATTTTTTATATGTAAAATGGGGATAATAGTACTTACTGGGTGGCAAGACTATACATATCTCTAGATACAATCTGTGTACCTACTATATACCATGTGTACTGTTTTATCTTTATATACATGTACATGAACTCTAGTCATGGGATATATTATCAGTATATCTGTTCTTTATTTCTTGTCATACCCTGTCCACCTATTAAATCTTCATTAGACTCACACTCTCTTCTAGCTCTGTCCTTCAAAAGAGCTGCTCACATCCTACTCTAGACTGATCCTCACAGTGACAACTTTGTTGGAATCTGATGTTGGAAATCAGAATCTTACCATAGTGGGTAGGCTGTAGTCAACCTGTGTCTTTCCACTTGCTTCAAAATTCTCTTACGTTGTACTGCGTTTTCTCTTCATATTTCCACCTAGCCTGTTTTCTCCAGAGTTTCAGTTCTCAAGTATGGGACAAGCCACATACCTGTAATTTACCAAAATTTGCCTATAATCTCTGTGTAATGATTAGCCTTTGGATTATGGGAACCAATCTAGCTGTTAATCATCTGTTTTTTGTAGAATAGCTTTACAGAATTCAGAGGAATCACAGTTGAGATCCAGATTCTGAGTTTTTTCAACTGCATTTGTTTTATATTAACAATGGCCAAACTATAATTTTCACAGCAACAAATTTCTAAATTGGATGGGCTCATAATATCATTTATATAGCTCTTCGATAAGCATTAACAACTTTACATAAACTGGGTTACATTAAAGGATTTTATGTTAAATTTTAGCTTTATGGCTAAAATTTGTGAAGATTATTTAAGCTGAAAAACTACTAAAATGTGCTTTTTTTTTTTTTGCCAAAGCTTGCCCTTCTTTTTTGTGCTCTCTGCCAGCCTAAAGAACCCTCATGAGTTCATTATATCTGTGACTTATTTTATGTAATATGATATGAACTATGAACTAAATTTCTTCTGAGGAAAACAAATTTCTGATAATTCTGTCACATAAAAATTTAAGACTGAGGTGTTTTTTAGTGAATTAAGCATTTTTCCTGTATATACAGGAAGACAGGTTGAAAGCAATTATCATAGGAAGTTTGGTAATTGAGGGCTAGCATGTTGATGACATTATGCCTCAAATACTAAAAATAGAGAGAATCCAATATATTTGTTTTAAAATTCCCAATTTTCTTACAAGCAACTCATATAAAACTTATTTGCCGAGCATTTTGATATCCTTCCCCCAAAAAATCGCTTCCCCATTTGTATTAATGTGGCACTCTGTACAGACTTTTTTTCCCCTTCCATCAGATAGTATTATAGTTAGAGAGTTCTGTGTTGGGTGTCCCATATAATACAGGGTCTGGTACGATGTTTTTGCCAAATGTTTTGTCAAAGATTCGGGAAGTAGCATTTCAAATATCTGACTCCTATCTTGATGACTTGTCAAATGTTAAAGTTTTTAAATGACGTAGAATGTTCTGACTGTCTTTTATTTCATAATCTCAATAGGACGATACAGGCTCCAACCCAAGTTCCAGTGGTTGTGTCTCCTGGGAGTCAGCATTTGCATACAGTAACACTCCAGACAGTGCCAATCACAACAGTTATAGCCAGCACAGATCCATCTTCAGGTGCTGGATCACAGAAATTTATTTTACAAGCCATTCCGTCCTCACAGCCCATGACAGTACTGAAAGAAAACGTCATGCTGCAGTCACAGAAACCGGGCTCTCCTCCTTCGATTGTCTTGAGCCCTGCGCACGTGCAGCAGGTTCTTACCAGCAACGTTCAGTCCATTTGCAATGGCACCGTCACTGTGGCTTCGTCTCCATCCTTCAGTGCTACTACTCCCGTGGTGACCTTTTCTCCTCGGAGTTCACAGCTTGTGGCTCACCCACCTGGCACTGTAATCACTTCAGTTATCAAAGCTCAAGAAACAAAAACTCTTATACAGGAAGTAGAGAAAAAGGAAACTGAAGATAATTTGAATGAAGACATTGATAAAACTGAGCCACAGCCTTATGTGATGGTGGTATCCAATTCCAATGGATTTTCCTCTCAGGTAGCTAGGAAACAAAATGAATTGCTGGAACCCAACTCCTTTTAAGTAATGCACCAAAGGAATTATGGATGATTGTTTTTTTAACTGAACGTTTTTCAGTTGTCTACAAACTATCTGATGATTCTAAGAGAAATTCTACAAATGTTCCTAATTTTGTAGTTAATGGTTAAAAATATTAATTTAGAGTTAATGTTGGCTTTGTTAGATGAGGGAGGGAACCCAAGTGCTTCTCTTTGTTCTCCAAATGTTTCAGAATTCAGTTGTGAAGGAATAGGCGTTTTATACTATGAAGACATTCTTTTCAGAATTTTTTTCAGTTCCTATATCATAAGCATTTTTCAAGTTTCTTTTTTAATTTTACATGGTATTAGCTTTTCTGATTCTTTTGTAAATACAATGTACTTCAATATAAGGCATCAGGAAATTTATATAGGAATCATTTTCATTCCACTTGTGTAAGTTAAAGTCTTGACTCTTTGAAATCAAGACATCTATTTTATACTTTGATGAAATTATGATTTCACTTAGATTGACTTTAGTTGGTCACACTCTATAAGGAATTATGACTGTGTAAAAAATTACATGAAAAATTTGAAAATGTCCGTGACAGGGCTGAACCTTATTTCAGAAGCAGGATAGTACAAAAGCATCAGCCTAAGAGTGGCTCTCTGCCTAACTAGTTGTGTAACCTTGGGCAAAGCCACTGGATCTTTTTGGGCCTCAGTTCTCTCTCAAAAAAAAAAAAAAAAGATGCATTGGATTAGACTTGATCTCCATTTCTCCATTTTGCTTTCTAGTTCAAAATTTGAGGTTCCTGGCTCCTATAATTTTAAAGTTAAATCAACTAAAACATTATCACTTATTTTTTAATGTAAATATAGCTAACACATTGCAGAAAAATAAGTGGCCCTACAAAACTCATTCTTCTGTTATCTGTAAGATCTGCTATGAATCTGAATGTTTCCTAAATATGTTATTAACTCGTTAGGCCACTGTGCACTGTGGTCCACTAATAAACTTACATTGCTGAGTGTTAAATGATATACTGCCATTCTGAAAGAGTCAAGGCTCTTGCCCAGAAAGCAACCAAGCCTTGGGCTAATCTGGCTGAGTAGTCAGTTGCTATAAAAGCATAATTGCTTTATATTTTGGATCATTTTTTATTGGGAGTGGGGGGGTTGCATACAAAGATAATATACATATATATCTTAAGTCTCTGAAATGAAATAGTTTTTAGATTACTTTTTCAACTGTAAATAATGTACATTTAATTTCACAATAAAAATTGTTTTCTGCAAATTTTCTAGTACAGCAAAGGAGAAATTTTGTAGATGAAAAAAAATCATTATGTTTAGAGGTCTAATGGTATATGTTTTCATATTACAGAGTGAATTTGTATTTAAACAAAAATTTAAATTTTGGAATCCTCTAAACATTTTTGTATCTTTAATTGGTTTATTATTAAATAAATCATGTAAAAATTCTCAATGTGTTTTCAAGGAACTGTCTCTAAAGAACAAGTAAACAGAAAATGCTGCTAGTATTTACAGTGTTGTAAAACGTTGCTTGTTTGTATAACAAGCTCCATTGGTCAGATAAGAATTGCAGAATTGTCATTTTCTCATTTTTTGTTGCTGCTGTGCCAAACAGTGGCTTCCAGGGAGCACATAGTGGATCACCTAGCTCCAAAGGTTAGAATACAATAAAATGTTCTCAACAATACTCAACATACCTTAAAAAGCAAGTTTTCTAATTAGAAATTGGATCACTTAATTGTTAAACTTGGGAAATATGGAAGCAAAAATAGAAAAAAAAACAACTAAAAATCTCAGTGCACTACCCCTCTACCCAGTGGAAACTATGCATTTTCTCATGTCAGTTAATACTTTTCTAAAACATGATTTTAGAAGGAGCATTTTTATCTCTGAAATCAGAGGGAAGCAGGGAAGAATCTGAATGAATAGGCCTTGCTAAATATCCCCCAGCTTACTACCTTAACCTCAAATACCCTTTTTTCCTGTCACTTTTCACAACGTTGCACTCTTTATCAAACCTAGTATAAAAACACTTAGGCTTAAGCATGTCCTTGAGTCTTCATTTCCATCTGAAGCCTCCCATGTCATGTAAAACATATTAAAACATCTGTCTTTGTCAGTTTGATTTTTAGGTTTGGCTAAGGACCCTAAGAGGGTCATGGAAAAGTTCTGTCTTCCCTAGAACTCCCTCTAGCCCTGTAGCCCCTGACATTGTATTGAACTCCTGAACAGGAAGGAGCATAGTGCTCGCTGGGTACCTGGCCTTGTGCTTACCTGGCTATTGTGCTTCCTAAGTTATTGCACTTTTTACTGATTGAAGGTTTGTAGCAATCCTGCATGGAGCAAAGAGCAAATCTATTGGTACCATTTTTTTCCCGACAGTATTTGCTCACTTTCCCTCTTTGTAACATTTTGGTAATTCTCACAATATTTCAAACTTTTCCATTATTATCTTATTTGTTATGGTGATCTGTGATCAGGGACCTTTGGAGTTACTATTGTAATTGTTTTGGGGCACCATGAGCTATGCCCATATAATCAAATTACTGATTCGACATGTATTTGTTAAGAAAGGACCTGTGAGGTTACTGTCACTGTCCTTAACATAAAAACTTGATGGCTTTCCTCATTTTTCCTTAATTCTTTAACCCTTTCTAGTATTGCATTTGCCTTCACTATTACCCTGAAAATTACTGTTGCAAAGGTCACTAGCTACTGATTAGTTTCCATATGGCCAAATTTCTGTGCTTATCTTCCTTGACCTTCCCAGTATTTAACTTTTTACAACCCACTCTTTAAATTCTCTATTGCCTTCACTTTTGTGCCCAGCTTGTTTCTCTTTTCCTCCTGCCTTTATATAAAAAAAAAGAAGAAGAAGAAGAAGAAGAAGTCTGGAGTTAGGTTTCCAGGTCAGCTAATTGAGGAACTCAGGGGTGATTGTTGAGCAACTAGATTTCTTCCCTCTTTGCTTTCCCATCCTGAGGATCTGGTTTCATTTCCAGGATGGCTTCTGCTGCAGTTGCAAGACACCTGCAGTAGTTCCTGCTATATTTCTGTTTATCAGCAAGAAGACCTTTCCCATGGGGATCCCTGGGTGGCTCAGCGGTTTAGCGCCTGCCTTTGGCCCAGGGCGCAATCCTGGAGTCCCGGGATCGAGTCCCGCGTCGGGCTCCCGGCATGGAGCCTGCTTCTCCCTCCTCCTGTGTCTCTGCCTCTCTCTCTGTCTCTCTATCATAAATAAATAAACAAACAAATAAATCTTAAAAAAAAAAGACCTTTCCCAGAACACCCTGAGCAGCCGTTGCTTAAGACCTCATTGGCTAGGTCGATCATAGACCCCTTCCTAAATCAATTCCTGGCCAAGGAAGTAGGATTTACCATAAATGACTTAGTCGTGTGTTGGGGAGATGGACAGCCAAAAAAAAAAAATGAGGCTCCATAGCAAAAAAATAAGCGAGGAATGATGCAGTCTACTGTCACCCATACACATCCTTCTCCTTTACACATTCGAAAGTGTTCGTGCCTCCATAAAACATATTTCTTTCCCAAAGAGAGATCAGCGAAAGTCTCACCCAGTTACTTGATGCAGTTTCATGACCAGAATGGGATGACGTGTAGTCCTCTTTTTCAGATCAGCTGTAGCTTCCTGATTTCTTGTCCTCAGCCACATCTAGCATGAGTACTCAGAAAAAGATTTTTTCCAGGGTTTCTCAACTTTAGAATACATTTCTTGATGGTTTAAGTTTGATGCCGTCCTGGGATCACTGTATTCCCGTCCAGAAGAGCTGTGTCCTCATTGCCTTCCATCCTGCCTCCTATATGCATACCAGGGTCAGTTTGGGAGCATTCCACTTCCAAATACCAAACTGTCAGTTTGAGCTCTTTGTCATTAGCAACAGAGATGGGTTCTGGGTTTTAGCATAAAAGAAATTTTTCTAGAAGAATATTGTATAGCTCATAGAATTGACAAAAGGACTAGAGAATCAGGGTCAATCTGAGTCACATAGCTAGGAACAAACTGCACAACTAGTCTAGCAGGGAAATTGTAGTTACTGTGGCCAAGCACTGAACACTGAGCTTTGTGTTACTGTCTCTACTGCCTTAGGAATTTGATCTTGATAGGAGCGTTACTGCACCTAGAGAGAATTAGCCAAGGTACTTACTTGATTCATTGTGTCAACTAGCTACCAATATTTATGTGACGGGCAGAATCTAGGTCAAGGGTCCAGCAGGGACTTGAACTCCAAGAGAAGTTGAGAGAAAGCAAGTTCAGCTTCTCAACTACTTTGGCATTTTCAGCTTCTATAGAGGAGACTGCCTCCGTGGGAATGAGGACTCAAGGAATCCCCTCCCTGCCACATTCCGCATAAAAGGGGACTTAGATTCTGTGCTGCCCAAAAGAATGACCTATGTCTTGTTAGGGAAAATCCAGACTCTGTGGAGCTTGAATTCATACAATTTGGTGGTTGGGTGGGTGGAGGGGATTTAGGAAAAACAAAACCCCTGCATTTGCTGTCTCTCTGTTTTACACAATTCATCTCATTCTTTTTTAAAAAATTGTATTTTTTAAGTGATCTCTATACTTGATGTGGGGCTCAAACTCATGATCCGGAGATCAAGAGGCACATGCTCTTCCGGCTGAGTCAGCCAGGTGCCCCCAGTTTATCTCATTCTGGTTGGCTAATTTCAATCTGCTCTTCGGACCTCAGCGCAGACATTACTTCCTCTCGAGAGCTTTCTCCAAGCTCTTGGAAGCTTCCCACTGCTGTCCTAGATCCTTTTAATTTCTCCCACTTGGGCACATACAACACTAATAGTTGCCGGCTGAAAGGTGAGATTCCAACACTAAGAGCCAAACTTGTAGTCATTTTAGTACTCTCAGTTCCTAGTGTAATATAGCTACACCCTGTAGATATTAAATATTTATTAAATATGTGACTAAACTACATGTTCTCTTTGCCTGTTTTCAGATTCATTTTCTCATGTTGCTAACTACCATCTGTATGCTGATAACTCCCAAATCTTATCTATGGTGCCAAGCTTGCCTTAAAAATAGCTTTATAGAGCTTTAATCGACATACAATAAACTCATGTTTAAAGAGTCTGAACTCATGAAGTCATCACAATAATCAAGTAGTGACTACCCACGTTTGGTGAACGTTACCCTAAAACCTATCTTTTGCCTCTTTGTGACTACTCCATTCTTGCTGTTGCTTCTTGCTCTTCTTGGCTCATTCCACCCCCTTAGTTGACCACAGATCTGCTGTCACTATACATTAGTTTGCATTTTCTAGGATTTTATGTAAATGGTATCATAGAGTGTATACTATTTTTTGTCTGGCTTCTTTCACTTAGTGTAATTATTTTGAGATTCATCCATGCTGTGGTGTGTATCAATTTATCATTCCTTTTTTTTTTAAAGTATTTACTTATCTGAGAGAGAGGACATGAGTAGGAGGAGAGAGAATCTCAAGCAGACTCCATACTGAGCGCAGAGCCTGACATGGGGCTGGATCTCATGACCCTGAGATCACGACCTGAGTGGAAACCAAGAGTCAGGCGCTCAACCAATTGCACCACCCAGGGGCCCCAGTTTATCATTCCTTTTATTACTTGTATTTCATCACATGGGTATACTACAGTTTGTTTATCCATTCACCTGTGGATGGCATTTGGGTTGTTCCTAGTTTTCAGCTATTACCATTAAAGCTGCTATGAATATGCCTGTATAAATCTTTATATGGACATGTATTTTCTTATCTCTTGGATAAATACCTAAGGAGTGGTCTGGCTGGGTTATATGACAGTTGTACCATTTTACATTCCCACCAGCAGAGTATGGGTTTTCCAGTTGCTCTCCATCCTCTCCAACATTTTAGCCATTTTAATGGGTGTGTTGTCATATCTCTTTGTGGTTTAATTTACATCTGAGGACATTGATTTGAGCATCTTTTGATGTTTTTATGTGACATCCATGTATCTTCTTTGATGAAATGATTTTTAAAATTTTTTGCCTGTCAAAAATTCTGTTTTCTTATTACTGAGTTTTGAGAACTCTTTATTTTTCTGGATGCAAACTCTTTATCAACTATGTGATTCACAATTATTTTTAGAGTGCAGAAATCTTTTAATTTTGGTAAAGTCTAATTTATCAATTTCCTCTTAAGGAATGTGCTTTTGGTGTCATGTTTAAATCTTTGCCTAATCCAAGGTCCCTAAGATTTTCTTCCTTCTAGAAGTTTTAAAGTTTTTTTAAGATTTATTTTAGAGAGAGAGAGAGAGAGCACATGTGCAAGTAGGGGTAGGGGCAGAAGAAGAGGGAGAGAGCTGAAGCAGACTCCGCACTGAGTACAGAGCGTGATGTGGGGCTAGATCTCACAACCCTGAGATCTTGACCTGCAGAAAGAAACCGTAAGTTGGATACTCTACCAACTGAGCCACCCAGGCACCCCTAGAAATTTTTAAGTTTTAAATTTAAGTCTATGATCCATTTTGAATTTATTGTTTTTAAAATATTTTATTTGAGAAAGAGCATGTGAATGTGCATGCATGAGTGAAGGGAGGGGCAGAGATAGAAGGAGAAACAGACTCCCCACTGAGCAGGGAGCCTGACTTGGGGCTCTGTCCTACAACTCTGGGATCATGACCTGAGCCCAAAGCAGATGCTTAACAGACTGAGCCACCCACACATCCTAGGACTATCCTTTTCAACTATCTATGCTGAATTACCTTTGGACTTTTGCTGAAAATTAGTTGTCCATTTATGTACAGGTGTATTTATGGACTGTTTTGTTCTATTGTCTGTCCTTGTGCCAATACACAAAGTTGATGTGTTGAAATCAGGTAGTGTTAGCTCTCCACCTTTTTATTTTTCAAAGTCGACTTGAGTATTCTAACTTTACATATCCATTTGAATTGGCAGAATTGGTTTGTCAACTTCTGAAACAGAAAAAGCCTTTGGGATTTTGGTTGGCATCATGTTAAATCAATTTGGGAAGAACTGACATTTTAACAATACTGAGTCTCCATAGACGCCTCTCCATTTGTTTAGGTGTTCTTTAATTTCTCTCAGCAATATTTTATAAATTCTCATTGTATACTTTTTGGACATCCCTTGTCAGATTTATTTTTTAGTATTTGGTATTTTTGATGCTATTGTAAATGTCATAAATTTCAAATTCTGTTGATTTTGTTTTAAATCTTTCTCCCCTATTTATCAGAAGCATGAAAGGCACAAATCTTATGTGTACAACTCAATAAAATTCTACTTCTGAATACATTGATGTGCTTGCCACCCAAATCAAGATAATATAACATTTCCTGCATCCAAGAAGTTTCCCTCATGGCTTTTCCCAGTTAGATTACCTTCTGGTGATCCCTCACAATAGTTATCTTCATATAAATGGAATCAATCAGGATGTACCCTGCCTAGCTTCCTTAACATTATGTATGTGAAGTTCATACATATTGTTGTGTGTATAGGTAGTTCATTCTTAATCATTGCTCTGTAGCATTTTTCTCCTATCAAAGGACCTTTATTTCCAGCTTTTCCTGCTGTGAATAACCTTGTAACCAATATTCTTGTCCACAAACATAAGTACTCTTTTCTCTTGGGGATACACCCAGTGATAGAATTATTGGGTAATAGGGCATACACAGGACTAGCTTCAGTAGATAGTGTCACAAATTTTTCTAGGGATGCCTGGCTGGTTCAGTCAGTGAGGAATAAGACTCTCGATCTTGGGGTTGTTGAGTTCAAGCCCCACGTTGGCTGAAGAGATTACTTAAAAAAATATCTTAAAGCTTTCTAAGGTAATTCCAATTTATACTCCCACTAGTAATATACACAAATTATAGGTGGCTCCATATTCTTGCCAAGGCTTGGTATTGGAATTTCTTTTCTTTTTTTAAGATTATTTATTTATTTATTCATGAGACACACACACACACAGAGGCAGAAGCAGACTTCCTGCAGGAGCCTGATGTGGGACCCGATCCCGGGATCACACCCTGAGCCAAAGGCAGACGCTCAACCCTTGAGCCACCCAGGCATCCCTTGGAATTCCTTTCAAACAATTCTTGTGAGTGTTTAGTACTGAAGCATGATTTTAATGTCCCTAATATAGCTATTGATGTAGAACTTCTTTTCATATGCATATTGGCCATTTAAAGAGCATTTGAAAATCAACCAAAGTAATTCACTTAACATATTAAGAAAAAATAGATACGAACATTTCAATAAAGGCAGAAAAAGCATTTGCTATAGAATTCTCTCCCCTCTGATGTTATAGCCAAGAGAAGAAGCCCATTATCATTATTCTAGTCAACACTAAATGAGACATACCAGCCAGTGAAAGACCAAAAGAAATAAAAGGTATAATCATTGCACAGGACATTAAGCCATCTTTATTATAAAATGACAAAATTATAATCATAGAGATTCTAAAAGAAACTACAAGGTATTAGAAATAATAAGAGAACTTGATAAGAAGGCTGAATATGAGGTCAATATGTAAAAATCAACACTGTTTCTATACACTGGCAACAAAGAAGTAGAATATAAGGCTTTTTAACTGTCATTTAAAATAGTATTCAAAAGCCAAATATCCAAGTACAAATCTAATGAAAGATATGTGAGACCTCTACACTGCAATTTACAAAACGCTGCTGAAGGAAATTAAAGACCACTTAAATAAATGGAGGGTGTATGAACGACACCTATGGGTTAGAGAACTCAATATTAAGATGTCAGTTTTCCCCAAACAGATCCACAGGGCCAATGCAAGTCCAATTAAAATTCCAGCAGCGTGTATGTGTGTGTGTGTGTGTGTGTGTGTGTGTGTGTGTGTTTAGAGTTGACAAGTTCATTATAAAAAAAAATAATTATCAATAAATGCAAATAAATTTCATAAGACGTCTAAAATAATGGAAATTACAAAGGCCTTGGAATAGCCAAGGCAACCTTGGAGAGTTCTAGGACTTCAAGAGTTACTACAAAGCTACTCTAATTATGACAGGGTGGTACTGGTACAAGGTTAGACAAACAGATCAAAGGAATGAGATCCTGGAAACAGGCATATATATATATAATATAATCATATATATATATGGTCACTCACTTTACAACAGAGGTGCCCGAAGAATTGAATAGGGAAAATGACAGATGACAATCCTTTTTTTTTTTTTTTAAAAAAGAAGATTTACTTATTTATTCCTGAGACATAGAGAGGGGGGGGGGCAGAGACACAGGCAGAGGAAGAAGCAGGCTCCATGCAGGGAGCCGGATGCTGGACTCGATCTGGGGACCTCGGGGTCATGACCTGGGCCGAAGGCAGGTGCTCAACTGCTGAGCCACCCAGGCGTCCCAGAGGACAGTCTTTTTTTGTGTGTGTGTGTGCCACCTTGTGATTTGGCAACAGAAGGGAATCTCATTGAGACAGACTTTTTAATAAACAGGTCTGGGTCAACTGGATATCCACATGGGGAGGAATGAAACCTTGATCCCAGGCTCCTACCTTTCTCTCAAAATCAATGCGATAAATCATAGACCTAGATGTCGAAGTTAAGTTAATAAAGCATCCAGAAGAAAACACACACAGAGCATCTTCATGGCCTTGGAATAGGTGAAGCCTTATTAAACAGGGCGCAAAAAGCACTGAACATACAAGATCAGCAAGCGCAGGCCGCGTCACCTCACCTACTTCTGCTCATCCCCGCAATCACAGACCTACCTGAGACTCACTCTGGCTCCTAGCACGGCGGTCATCTCCTCTCACCTGTTCTTTTTTCCCTCTTGGTCATGCATCCACCGCACAGACACAGGATGATACCTGTAAAACGCAAATGTGCCTTTTATTGGCTTTCCAAGTCACAAATTCTAGAGCAGGTTAGCATCCTTACGAGACTCGCATCCGCTCCTCTGCCAAGACCACAGGCCTGCCCTTTGTGACCCGGCATTTCACCGACCTCTCCAGGGCGCTTGTAGCTTGAACTTCGGCTCTGCCCATTTGACAACTCACAGGATTACTTCTTTTCTTCCTTCCTTTCTTTTTTTTTTTTTTAAAGATTTTATTATTTATTCATGAGAATACACAGAGAGGAGACAGGCGGAGGGAGAAGCAGGCTCCATGCAGGAGCCCGACGTGGGACTCGATCCCGGGTCTCCAGGGTCACGCCCTGGGATGAAGGCGGCGCTAAACCGCTCAGCCACCGGGGCTGCCCCGGATTACTTCTTTCCTTAAAAAAAAAAAAAAAAAAAAAAAAAAAATTCAACTCCATTAATTCACATTTAACGTATTATACTGGTTTCAGAGCTAGAGGCCAGGGATTCTTCAGTCCTATTAGGACACCGGGTGCTCGTGACGTCACGGCATCACCTGCCCTCACATGATCGTTTTTTTCTGACAGTATTTTTTTTTTTTCCTCACACACATCCTCATCTGTCCCAATTGTTCTCCCTTTCCTCCATCCTCTCGATTCTAATGTAGCTTTAGAGGCTGAGGCTGGGTCGTTGGGTCACTTCCCTTCTTGGACTTTAGCATTCAAAACAAGAGGTTTACATCGGGGGGGGGGGGGCGGGGCATATTCACATAACCCTGAGGCCCAGTCCCTTTAGATTTTTTTTTTGAATTTTATTTATTTATTCATGAGAGATGCAGAGGGAGAGGCAGAGACACAGGCAGAAAGAGAAGCAGGCTCCCTGCAGGGAGCCCGACGCGGGACTCGAACCCGGGCCCCAGGGTCACGCCCCGGTACTGACACAAGCTCCGGCCACCTGCGTCCCCCCACCCGGTACCCTCGAACGTAACAGGCTCCCCCCTCAACCCGGGCAGCCAACTGCGGAGAGCTTGCGTAAATGGACTAGCACCCCCGCCCCGGAACCAAAGCGCTTCCTTCAGGGCAGCATCTGCGAGCGCAGAACGGCTTCCGGCCAGTCCTCGTCCGTTAGGATTCCCAGCGCCGAGATCACGGGACCTACGCGCAAGCCGGAACTACATTCCCCGGAAACGAACGCGGACGGGCGGATGACGTCACGCCCCCGCCCACCCCCTCCGGCAGCCATGATGAAAACTATGGCGAACTGTGATGAAAATGAAGCCAGATGCGCCCCGTTACTAACACACGTCCAACCTCTCCCAAACGCCACGCGCCCCTGCGGAATAACAGTCCGCTGCAGAAGCGCTTTTGAGCTACTGCCCCTGAAAGGCTCTTCCGGGGCGCACAGGCGTCGGGGAAGGCCCGGCAGGCGTGAAGAGCCGGCGCCTCCGTAACCATGGCTGCGCAGGGCGGGGGGGCGGGAGGCGGGGGGGCGGGGGGGGCGGGAACTGAGGGCGCTTGGTCACATGACCGGGCCCGGAGGCTGAGTCCTCCACCGTCCCAGCGGGCCCTGCGCCCGCTTTCCGTCTCCGCTCCCTCCTGCGACGCGCTGCGTGGCTGCTCGTTGGCTCCGCGGGACGGAAGCTCGGTCGGTGCTTCTCTAGAAGTTTCCCCCTTGGGCGGCGGTGGCGGCGGCGCAGCTCCTAAGCTCGGTGGTAGCGGCTCTCACAGCAGCAGCGATTTTTTTTTTTTTTTTTTTTTTTTTTTTTAGGGATGGCGGCGGCTGCAGCAGGACCTGCCACGGCCCCCAAGTGCGTGTTCTCCTTGTCCTTGCTGTTTGTGTCTCCCCCCCGGCCCCCCGCCCCCGGGTCAGTGAGCGTGTCGTTGCTTCCCTGGCAGGTTCTCCCGGAGCTTCTCTGACGCCCTGATGGAGGAGGACCCCCGGGCGGCCCTAGAGGTGAGAGAACCAGCCGCGGCCTCCTCCGCTCTGCCTCGGGTCCGGGGTTCGGGCGGACCCCGCCTCTTCCCCGCCCCGCGCGGTGCCTGGGTGCCGGCCCCGGGGCCCTTGCCCCGGCCCCCCCGCCCGCTCCCAGACCGTCCTGCATCCTCGCCTCCGCTTCCTTCCTTGCAGTTACCACCTGCTCTCTTTCCTGGCGGGGGGCGTAGTCGACACTCACAGTTGTCCTGGAGGGATTTCCTTTTTTTTTTTTTTTTTTTTTAAAGATTTTATTTAAGAGAGGCAGAGACGCAGGCAGGGGGAGAAGCAGGCCCCATGCAGGGGAGCCTCACGCGGGACTCGATCCTGGGACCCCGGGGTCACGACCTGAGCCAAAGGCAAGACGCTCCACCACTGAGCCCCCCCCCCCCGCGAGGAGCCCCGATTTTGTTTTTTTTTTTTGTTAAGTGGCATTTGTGACTAGAAGTGGAAAAAGTGAAAATCTAGGCTTGATGAGATTTGTTAATTGTTTTTTGGTTTTTTTTTTTTATCGTTTTATAATCGTCCCTGTCGTTCTTATATTCCAGGTGTTGCGCCAACAAAAATCTTTACCCGTAGGTCTCTGGTTATTTCCAGATGTCCCGTTACTGTTCATTATTCACTCATTTATCAAAGCAGGGTTTTTATTTTATTTTTTTATTTTATTTTATTTTATTTTTATTTTATTTTTATTTTGGGGGGGGGTGCTTTGTGCAAGACACTTGACTGCTAAGGCCTAAAGTCTTGTTTATGTGTTTCACGGGCTTAAAGGCTGTAAAGAAAAGTCAAAAGAGGGCAGCCCCCGGGGTGGGGGGTGTTGAGCGGTTTAGCACCTGCCTTCAGCCCAGGGTGTGATCCTGGAGTCCCAGGATTGAGTTCCCTGTTGGGCTTCCTGCATGGAGCCCGCTTGTGTCTCTGCCTGCCCCTCCCTCTCTCTCTCTCTCTCTCTCTCTCTCTCTCTCTCTCTCTCTCTCTCTCTCTCTCTGTGTGTGTCTCATGAATAAATAAAATCTTAAAAAAAAAAAAAAAGGACACCTGGGTGTCTCAGTGGTTGAGCGTCTGCCTTTGGCTCAGGATGTGATCCTGGAGACTCAGGATCGAGTCCCACATCAGGTTCCCTGCATGGAGCCTGCTTTTCCCTCTGCCTGTGTCTCTCATGGATAAATGAAATCTTAAAAAAAAAAAAAAAAGTCAAAAGAGCAAGATTTAAGTAATTATGAATAATAAAGAGAGGCCAGGCTAAGGATGCATGATGGAGTTGGTTGCAGAATTTAGGCAGAGGTTTCTTGGTTTGAAGCAGAAGGGAGAAAGGAAAGCAAACCTGTTCGCTTGTTATAATCTAACATAGGTAAGCTTAGCAATTTGAAGCAAGAAAGGTCCCCCCCCCCCCCCAGCTGGTACTTTTAAGGGAAATTTGCCACGTGGGTAGTAGAGTCTCTCAGAAGAGGTGATATTTTGAGCAGAAGCTTGGGGAGTGAGCACTGGTTAAAGGGCATTCCAGGCAGAAAAAGCCAGGGCAAAGATCCCCAGGTTGGAATGACGTTGGCCTGTACAAGGAATAGCAAAAAGAGCCGTTTAAGAAGAGTGCGATGACACAGGAGTCAGCGATGAGGTAGGGAGGAAACCAGGGCTAAGGTCCTAGAAGGCTTTATAAGTCGGAGTGTTTCTTTGGATCTAGATATGAAGGCCCTGAAATAAAATGGTTGGTTCATCAGTTGTGCTATGATGTTTCCTAGTGAGGCTTCTGGGATGGGTAATAGAATAGCATTAGAGGAGGCACTGAACATCCTTCTTCACAGTTTGTTACGTCATCTAGACAGCTGTATTTCAGAATCTGCATTTATTATGATCTTCTTAGCCCAGTGTTGTCTTTGGAAATCCAGTTTATGTGAGTTGCTTTTATTTTATTTTTTTAAGATTTTATTTATTCATGAGAGAGGCGCAGAGACACAGGCAGAGGGAGAAGCAGGCTCCATGCAGGGAGCCTGATGTGGGGCTGGATCCCGGGACTCCAGGATCACGCCCTGGGCTGAAGGCAGGTGCTAAACCACTGAGCCACCCAGGGATCCCCATGTGAGTTGCTTTTAAAGGGAATTCCTGTAATGAATTTTGTTGTCACTTATCTTCCTCATTTAAATAAACGTTTTTTGATGTATGCTAACATATAAATAACACAGATCTTGAGTGTGCAACTACTGAGGCTGCCATATATGTATTTATCCCGCAGCTCAAGGTGGAGAGCGCTTCCATCCTAACTCCCTCCTCCTGCTGCTTCTCAGCCAGTCATTCCCCTTACCTACCAGCTGACTCCCATTCTGATCTCCATCACCATCAGTTTTTCTTGTTCTTGTACTTCCCATAAACAGTAATGCACACTAGTCTGGTGCTCTCATGTGAGATCTGTCCATGTTGTGTGAAGTGGTTTTTTCATTGCTGTGTAGTATTTCATTGTGTAAAAGTAATAGCACAACTATTTTAACAATGGACATTTGACTTACCTCCAGTTATTAGCTAGTATGAATAAAACCGCTCTGAATTTACTCATACGGGTATTTTGGTGAGCACACTTTTTTGGGGAGGGACATATATATATATATATATAGAGAGAGAGAGAGAGAGAGAGAGCGCGCGCGCTAGGAATGAAATTACATAGAATAGGCATGTGCTTAGCTACTATAGTACCTAGATTCTTAAAGTGTGGCTTTTTGAACCAGCAGCATTAGCATCACCTGGAAATTTATTAGAAATGCAGATTCTTGGACTCCATCTGAGGTTATTCAGAGTCCTTACAGCTCATGTGGTCTAGTACGTACCCATCCATTTTACAGAAGAAAACTGAGACCCAAAGAAATCCAAATGATCTGTCATAGAGATGTATATAGCCAAGTAGAGGCAGAATGGGAGCCCTGGGATATAAGTTTCCAGACTCTTAGTCTAGTGCTGCGGAAAAGTAATTCTCAAAAGCATCATTCTCAGACCAGCTGCAGCAGCATTACCTGAGAACTTGTTAGAAATGCAAATTCTGAGGACCCACACCAACCTGAATCAGAAACTGGGAGTGGGGAAAATGATTATAAGAGAAAGTGTTCCTTTTATTATTTATTTATTTGAGAGAAAAGATGGAGCGGGAGAGAATTTTAAGCAGGCTCCACACTCAGCACAGAACCCAGTGTGGGGCTGGATCCCACAACCCCCAAGATCATGAAATGAGCAGAAATCAAGAGTTAGATGCTTAATGGACTGACCTACCCAGGCACCTGAAAAAGTTCTTTTTAAAGCTTGGGGTGGGGGCACCTGGATGACTCAGTGGTTGAGCATCTTGCCTTCAGCTCAGGTCATGAAACAAGGTCCTGGGATCGAGTCCCACATCAGGCTCCCCACGGGGAGCCTGCTTCTCCCTCTGCCTATGTCTCTGCATCTCTCTCTGTGTCTCATGAATAAATACATTTAAAAAAAAAAAAAAGCTTGAAGTGACCTTTTCGCAGTCGACCTTGAACATCGTGGGCCTACCTACATAGGATTTGAACTGCATTGGCCTATTTAATATGGATTTTTTTCCGATACCTGCAGTACTGTAAATGTGTTTTTCTTATGATTTTCATAATTTTTTCCCTCTAGCTTACTTTATTGTAAGAATATAGTTAATAATACATAAAATACGTGTTAATTGTGTTATTGGTAAGGCTTCTTTTTGGTCAGTAGAAGGCTTTTAAGTTACTGGGGAGTCAGAGGTTATACTCAGATTGGATTTTCGGCTGTGAGGGCTAGTACCCTTAACACACCTCATTGTTCAGGAGTCAACTGGTTATTTTGAAATTCAGGACACTTGATAATACATTAGTTAAAATGTTATGTTTTTCTGTAAGACCATCCAGTTAGGGTTAAAAGGGAAATGTTTGTATCAAGCTGATTCACATTTTTCATTGATTCAACATACGATATATATATTAATGGTGAATTCTGTACTGGGAGCCAAGGATCTAAAGATGAAAAGACTGCATTGAGGAAGTTTGCAGTCCAATGGAGAGAAAGACAAGTCGACAGATTATTAAAATATAAGGTAAATATTATAATGGGGTGGTGTACGAAATATACTAAGAACATAAGCAGACTGGAGGCCAACCAGGGTAGTCAGGAAAACTTTACAGTGTCTCGAATCGCTAGGGAGAGAAGATTTGTGAATTATGAGACTCTTTTGAGGCCCAGTATGAATAGTGGTTAAGAGCATAGGTTTCTGGGGGCACCTGGCTGGTTCAGTTGGTAGCACATGAGACTCTTGATCTTGGGGTCGTGCGTGTGAGCTCTGTATTGTGGGTAGTTTACTTTAAAAACACAGGCTCTGGAATCAGAGTGCTTGGATCGAAACCCTGGCTTCATAGTAACTCTAACTTTAGGAAAATTCCTGTTGTCACTTTGGATCCTGTCTGTGAAGTGGGACTAAATAGGACCTATTTCACAGGGCTATAATGAAGATATGTAATGTAAGGTACAAGATGAGGCCTTTGAGGTAGGCATCTTGTAGCTTCTTTGCTCTCTCGGTTCCTGCCACACTGTCTTTTTCTATTCACTTGAATATATCAAACTCAGTCCTTGTAGAAGGCCTATGGACTTGGGTTCCTTTTGCTTAAAATATACTCTTGTACTATCTCATTTTGCTTGGTGATGAGATTTCAGCTGAAATGTCACTTCAGAGAAGGTTTTTTCCCCCTCAGACCACCCTATCTAAATTGGGCCCCATTGTAAGCTCCAAGGTAGCAGGGATTTTGTGTGTCTTTTTTTTTTTTTTTTTTTTACCACATTTTCCGTGTAGTGGTAGGGACTCAAATGTGACATGTTAAATGACTCCTACCATAATTTTTGTAACAACTGAGGGTGGGTATTTGCATTCTACTCACTCACAAGGAAGCTGAGACCAAACGGATTAAATTGCTCAGGGTTATATAGTAGAGAAGTGACAAGTCTCTGGGTTCAAGGCATCAAGGTCTTCCTCTAGAGGAGGGGGTAGGTTTAGGGACCTATAATAGAGTTAAAGGTTTGGTAGTTGACTTTGAGGTAGTTGACCCTTGATAGCTTTGTTGAGAGCACTAAGCACAGAGCTAACAGGCATAAATGCAGTGTTACCAGTTCTGCATGGTTCTCTGGTTTTTCTTTAGCAGTCCTCAGTAGTTTAGGAAGGGAGAAGGGTTGGTACTCTTGTTTGTCATCTCTGATTGGGGATTGGCTGTGGCTAGAAGAAAATGGGAAGTGAAATCAAAGTAAGATACCCTTCAGCAGTTGGGTCAGTGTGAGCAGTCTGCTTTTACTTTCAATCTTAACAAGTTACGTAGTTGACTAGCATTTTTAAAAAGCCTGAAACATTAACTTTTAAGATTTAGAAATTTAGAAATTTTCTTTTCTTTTCTTTCTCTTTCTCTCTTTCTTTTCTTCTTTCTTTCTCCCCTTCCCTCTTCCCTCTTCTCTCTTCTCTCTTCTTTCATGAGACCCAGAAAGGCAGAGACACAGGCAGAGGGAGAAGCAGGCTCCATGCAGGGAGCCCGATGTGGGACTCAATCCTGGATCCTGGGATCACACCCTGAGCCAAGGGCAGATGCTGAACTGCTGAACCACCCAAGCGTCCCACAGAAATTCATTTTATAAGATCTAAGTTTTAAACAATTTTAATGCCTTAAAAAGTAGTTTATCCCCCTATTGTTTTGGATTATTAGGGTTCTTCACCATTATCTTGGTAAAGATTTCAGTGTAATTATGTTAATAGTTCATGGAGTTTATTTTTGAGAACTCTAAATTGCTTGACTATAACTCCTTTTATGTAAATATATTTTGGGGCATGTTTACAGTATGTTTTCCATTGGTCTACATAAATAATGGGCTTTTGCCATTATGATTCAAATGTTGGCACTGAAGTCCTTGCCTTTGAGATACCTCTTTTTAGTCCGTTTGTACTCAAGCAGCAAGCAACTGTTGTCACAGAAACAGTAGAACTCTCAAAACATGCCACAAGTCTGATGTATTTAATACAACCACAAATCATTGTTTTAATTTCACTTCTTCTGGCTTTGTTATACTGTATATTTATAAAAAGTAAACTGGTTATTGTGATATTGATGACGTGGTATTATATCATAATGTGACATGTTTGTGTGTCCTAGTGTTCGGTTTGTGTTCTGTTTTTTGGTAACTTTTCAAAATAACAGCATTCTAATAAGTAAATTGCTTAGTTTATTTAACTGAATTACATAACTGATTCTCCTTAACCAACAATTGGTTTGTGTTTTTAAAGGTCATTTGCAAGTTGGTTGTTTGAAATTCAGAAGTTTTTACTTGACTCCATTTTCTTTTAATTTATTTATATTTTTTAATTTTTAAAAAAATTTTTTTTACTTGACTCCATTTTATTTGTTTTTGTTCCCCCAGTGTCTGACTTTTGTTAACATAACAGATTTTAAAAAATACATATAATTTGATTATCTAGGTACTAGTATAATTTATAATAGCTTTTTTCACCCTTAATAAGCCTGTTCTCTTGCTGAGGAGAGGCTTAGAAATTTGGTTTGCAGATACACTTGAGTAGATAGGTAAGAGCTTATCAGCTGTTTTCAAAATTGTTGAAAATTTAAGTGCAAAATGGTATTTAACTTAGGTAAATATTGGGAAACATTAATACAAATATTATTGGTGTGTAAAAGATACTTGGAATAAAGAGACGTTATCAGGAGACTGTGTGGTTTGGTTTTTAAAACCAGATTTGGAGTCAGACAGACTGGATTTGACACAGTCTTGTCACGGACTAGAAAGTGAGGGAATGGGGCAGCCCGGGTGGCTCAGCAGTTTAGCGTTGCCTTCAGCCCAGGGTGTGATCCTGGAGTCCCAGGATGGAGTCCCACGTCAGGCTCCCTGCATGGAGCCTGCTTCTCCCTCTGCCTGTGTCTCTGCCCCTCTCTCTCTGTCTCTGTGTCTCTCTCATGAATAAATAAATCCTTAAAAAAGAAAGGGAATGGATTTTCTCTGCACATTTGGGGAAGATCTTTCTAGTGAGAGGGAACATCTGATGCAGAGTCCTGAGGTGTTTGAAGAACAGCAAAGAAGCCATTGTGGCTAGAGTAGGGGAGCAAGCAGATGAGTAATAAAAGATGAGATCAGAGAGCTAGTAGAAGGTCCTATCAAGGAGGGCTTTGGAGGTCACTGGAAGAACTTGGGCTTTTGCTCTGAGTCAGCTGAAAAGACACTGGAGAGTTTAATGTTTATTGACATAAGCAAGATCTGATTTTCATTATTGCTCGGATCAGGATAGTAGAGGTGAAGAACATAGAAAATGGTTTGGATTTTAGGTATATTGTGTTTTAGATAAATGGTTACCAAGTATGGTATACATTGCTTTTGGGGAATCCTGCTACTAAATTAAAGCAAAATCAATGTCACGTCGTTATTTTTTTATTTTTATTTTTTTTAAGGATTCTATTCACGAGAGGCAGAGATAGAGAGAGGCAGAGACACAAGGCAGAGGGAGAAGCAGGCTCCATGCATGGAGCCCAAGGTGGGACTCAGTCCTGGGTTTCCTGGATCCCGCCCCAGGCTGAAGGTGGCGCTAAACCAGTGAGCCACCGGGACTGCCCTGTCATGTCGTTATTGAAGTAATTTTACCTTTTAAGAAAACTAGCAAATCCGTAGGATGTGTGAGCACTGGGTAGAGAATCAAAACATTCTCACTTGCCAACATTTGTCCTTGGCCTCACTGATCATGCTGTCTCTTCTTTTTAAAAATATTTTATTTATTAGAGACAGCATGAGCACAAGTGGGAGAGTGGCAGGCAGAGGGAGAGGTTAGAAGTAGGCTCCTCACTGAATAGGGAGCCTGATGCTAGGCTTGATCCCAGGATGCTGAGATCCTGACCTGAGACAAAGGCAGATGCTTAACCAACTGAGCTACCCAGGTGCGCCCCCCCCCCCCCCCTGCCAATGCTATCTCTTCTTGCATCATTGTTGTTCCAGCTACCACTTATATGCTGTGACTCCCCAGGGTGACAAAGTTTTAATCTAATAAATCTTGATCAGTTGATAGTAGCTATCTGTGAGGTACTGTATCTGGGCTTTTGTGCTCTAATTTCTTAGGGTTGTCTGCTATTGACAGTGGATGGGAGAGGGCCACATAAGCTTCATTGTGTCTTTATTGATTCTGTTAACCGCCCTGAGCTCTGGATTTAACTTCTAGGTTTGTTTGTTTGTTTTTATTGGACAGTTTTACATTTACTAGGCATCTCAAATTCTACATGATGTTTGAGTCTTCTCCTAATTAGAGGGAGAAAATCTGTGACGTTCAATATATATCGTCTAAATTCTTCAGAATAAATGAAGTGATAGTAATTAGCATTTATTGAGTTCCTACTATAGTCCAGGAATTGTGCTAAGATACTACATTAGATTGTCGGTTTGGGGTGAGGAGAATGGAGAAGAGGAGATATTGATCCTCTTGCAAAGAAAAGCACCAAGCTTATTTCATTGTTATCTTTCCTCCAAATAGCTTATGATATTAGGTTATTTGATTAAAAATCATGTTTAATTAGAATTCTGTTGCTTTTAAAAAACATTTATTGACACAACATGTTTGTATTTGTAGGAGCTGACTAAGGCTTTGGAACAGAAACCAGATGATGCACAATATCATTGTCAAAGAGCTTATTGTCACATTCTTCTTGGGAATTACTGTGGTAACTTTTCTTATTGAATATATTATTTCTTCTTTATAAGTTATAAATTTTGCCCAAGATGCAGTGAGTCAAATGGAATAGAGATTATCCTTGAGGATTTTTAAATTGATCTTTCATACAATGTGTGAAGTGGCTGAAACATGACAAACATGTTGAGCAATACCTATACAAATGTTCTGGGTGTCTCTTCTTCAGTGGGTGAATTTATACAGATTTCATTTGTAGTTCTTGGATATACTAAAAATAGCATCACATTTATTGTTTTACAGACTATAAATGAAATGCTCTTATTTGTAACTTATGTAAAAAAGAATGCCTTTATGTTACTTGTGTAACTTTTAATTGTTCTGAATAGAGAATCTGGGTAGGGAAAAGTAAATACCTTGAGTCAAATTACATAAATGATGTTCATGAGAAATTAGATGAGTTTTGTGACAAAGCTTTATACGTTGACTGAATAGCTTTAAAAAGGAAGCTAAATATTAGCGTAATAAGATGTGAGTAATATTTTTTGGATTATATCTTGGATTAGTTTTTTCCTAACTTAAAAGCATTTGTCCATCACACCAACTTGAATACTGGAAAATGTAGGGCTGATTCAAATTTTGTGTGTAATTTGTTAGGTCCATAAATTACTAAATACCCCCTCCCTTTTTGTTTTTGTACATAGATGCTGTTGCTGATGCAAAGAAGTCTCTTGAACTTAATCCAAATAATTCCATTGCTATGCTGAGAAAAGGGTATGCATTATCTACTCTAATTGGGTCTGAACTGTAGATAGTAGGTGTTTACTTTGTTAAATGAATGCATTTTAAGTTTTACATAAATAGTAAATTCTGTATTTATACATTTTATAGCTGAGATAGGATCCAATTTAATTTTTATTTTTTTTATTTTTTAAAGATTTTATTTATTTATTCATTATAGACATAGAGGGGGGCAGAGACACAGGCAGAGGGAGAAGCAGACTCCATGCCGGGAGCCTGACGCAGGACTCAATCCCCGGACTCAATCCCGGGACTCCAGGATCACACCCTGAGCTCACACTAAACCGCTGAGCCACCCGGGGATCCCCTCAATTTTAAATATAACTTCATACTTCTGTTAATTATAGTAGGTGATAAGAGATACATAGTGTGTTTTAAAATAGTGGCAATTGAAGTAATTACAAGAAATGATGAAACTGATGGATTTCAAGTCTCTTTTTTGTTCATTGTTTGGACTTTACTGTATTTAACTGACTAGAGAACATCTTATTTGTCAGCCAGGCTGGACAGGCTACATTTAATGTTGTGAAAACCGTCTGTGTTCTTTATATCCCAGCTTGTTTCTGTTGCTAATTATAACTTTATTCTTAAGAAACTTCTTTAGTTTCTTAGCATAACTATATTTTGGAATAAGCAAGTGTATACAATTAAAACCAAGAAATTCCTTCTGAAATGAGTTCCAAAATTACATTTTAATGGAAGTTATATTTAATGCTACAATATATTAGAAAACCTCTTGGCTTATTAAAATATACTTAAATATTTCTTTTACCAATTGTGAGTACAAGTATATTTAATTTAGAAAGCCGTTTTGCGTGATCTCACGTGTGTGTGGTATTTGTTTTTAATGTGCTCATGCAGGATATGTGAATACCATGAAAAAAACTATGCTGCTGCTTTAGAAACTTTTATAGAAGGACAGAAATTAGATAGTAAGTATTGGAATTCTCTGTTAATAAACTAATCCATTATTTCTGTGTATTAAATACCATGGCTGAATTTTGTTAGTGTAATCTCAAGTTCATCGTAGAAAGCCAATACCTTTCTTCTTAGGTTTTCTGTTGATTGCAAAATTTGAGTTTACTTAAAACTGATTAAATTGGTCTTTCTTCAGCATTTTTTTCTTTTTTTTTTTCTTTAGCATTTAAATCACAGATGAACTTTATTTACCATTAGAGGTTAAAAACTGTATATAAACCTCCAGTGTGCTTCCTCTACTTAGTCTGGCTTTATATTTTTCTAATTGACAAGTGAAAGTTTAATTTGATTTTCAGAAGTCTGTTCAGTTTAAGTTACTATTCAGATGGCTGAGATAGGAAGTTTTACAACAGATTTTTTTTATTAAGTGAAGTGTCAGCTTGGGTAAGTTGTGATAGGAAGAAACTTGGAGCTTTGAGAGTATTAGGAGTTTTTAATGTCTACTTCAGAAAAGAATATGAAAATTAGTATGGATGTTTGTGCACATGTGTAGAAATTTTAGAGGAGCCAAAAATCAAGAGTCTACAAAATACTGACAAGTTGTAAGTAATCTCATAGACTACATAATTGAAATTGTGTACCATCGTTTATCTTCCTCTAATGATTGAGTCTTATCACAGTTCTCTAGAGCAGTGCTTCCTAAGTAGGGATGATTTTGCTCTCTGGAAGACATTTAGCAATGTCTGAAGAGATTTTTTGATTTTCATGACTGGTGGATGGGAGATGTGCTGTTGATACCTAGTGAGTAGAGGCCTGGGATGCTGGTAAACATCCTACATGGCACAGGATTGTCCCCCACAACAGAGAAGTAGCTGGTCCAAAATAGCAGTAGTGCTGGAGTTGGGAAATTCTCCTCTAAAGTATTGCATGAGTATGTTTTTATATTTTTAGAAATTTTCTGTTGTAATGCTTTGAATATTTGCTTTTCTGCTCTCTACCCGCTTGAGAGAGGACAGTGGGCCCAGCTTTGCAATTAGAATCTCCAAATTAGGAGGGAGTAGTGGTACATAAATAAGTTGGCTATTCAGTTAGCAAGCCAGCATATCTTCACTTTAAGCAAATTCTAAAGAGTCCAGTTATCCTGCACCTTGATACACATTGGAAAGCCTTCAAGAGACATAAATCATTCCATCTTGTAGATTTCTAAACCCTGTTCCTTATTTTTTTTATAGCAATAGAAAGTTTCTCACCTGAATTTTTTCCTTTATTAGTGTCTTACTGCCATTGACTTTTATCCTAGAATTATTTCAGAGTCTGCCTCAAATAGAGGTGCCTGTTTTTCAGTAAAATTGTTTTTATGAATATTTTAATTTAAAGGCAAATTTGTTCTTTAATTTTAAGGAAAATGTATGTTAAACTGTTAGGGTTCTCCTATTACCGGGGTAAACCATTTATAACTTACTATCTTTTATTCCATTTGGTATAATAGGAAGTTTGGTTTTATTTATTAATTTGCATAATACGTTATTCAAATCTATAATTTTTTTTAAAGATTTTATTTATTCAATTGGGACACAAAGAGAGAGGCAGAGACATAGGCAGAGGGAGAAGCAGGCTCCATGCAGGGAGCCCAATGTGGGCCTCGATCCCAGGACCCTGGGATCATGACCTGAGCCAAAGGCAGACACTCAACCACTGAGCCACCAAGGTGGCCTCAAATCTAGGATTTTGATATAATTGTTTCCCCCCAATAGAATGAGAGTGTGTGTGTGTGTGTGTGTGTGTGTGTGTGTGTAGGTATTAGTTAAGGCCTATATAGTTGAATTTCACTTACAAAATACTAGAAAATTTCATTTTAAGAAATTTTTATTTTTCAGTAATCTTGCCTGCAATTTGTTTGAATTTGCAAACTTTTGTTAAGAGTACTTTTAATAATTTTTAACATCATATTGGATTAGACCCTGTGCTGTTTAGATAGATTTATTGTTCTGAGTCTTTAAAGATTAGTAATTTGTTTACGTACACGTTTACATTGTTGTGTCTAAATGTATAGTTCACCATCTGTAGTGTCTTGATTGCCATGGAATTGGGAGATAGGACAGAACTGCACAAAGTGCAAAGGTTTTTTGGTCTTGATTGCCATGGAATCGGGAGATAGGACAGAAATGCACAAAGTGCAAATGTTTTTTGGTCTTGGTAGAAATGGTCTTGGTAAACGGAAAGGCTACTGAGAGAATAGTAGAATAAGTAGGTAGCTGCATTTAGAGAACAAACCTGGGGGTCAGGAGAGGCTTCTAGACCTTGGTCCAGTTGTTTGGTACCAGACTTCCATCCCAACACACTGATGGTTTATTGGGATTCTTTTTTTTTTTTAATTTAAAGATTTTATTTATTCATGAGAGAGACACACAGAGAGAGAAGCAGAGACACAGGCAGAGGGAGAAGCAGGCTCCATGCAGGGACCCCGAAGTGGGACTCGATCCTGGGTCGCCAGGATCACACCCTGGGCTGCAGGTGGCGCTAAACCGCTGCGTCACCACGGCTGCCCGGTGTATTGGGATTCTAATTCAGGTCTGATTCTGTTGTGTGAGAGGAAGCTCCTTTAACAGACAAAGGGTGGGGGAAAATGTAGATTATTTATATTTGGGAACCAGTAAGGTTGACTGTGGTTAAAACCAATTTTTTTTTTTAACTGAAATTCTTCAAGCTGAATACTTAAATGTTAAACGTGTTGGTATGTTTATAATTGTAACATTATGGTTGCTGTAAACTCTGTTAGGATAAGTATTTTTGTCTAATTTTCTGCTGAATTCCCAGTGCCTGAAGCACTGTTTGGAACATGTATATATTCAAGAAGTATTTGTCGAATGACTCTATTAGGTGGTGCAGATGATTGATGATACACTATGTTTTTTCTAGGTGCAGATCCTGATTTCACTGTCTGGATCAAAAAGTGTCAAGAGGCTCAGAATGGTAAATATATAGGTTTTCCATGTCTTTCAATTTTCAAAGAAGTAAATATTTGACATTTTGGATTTAAACAGATTGTTCTAGGGCAGCCCAGGTGGCTCAGAGGTTTAGCTCCACCTTTGGCCCCGGGGTGTGATCCTGGAGACCCTGCATGGAGCCTGCTTCTCCCTCTGCCTCTCTCTCTGTGTCTCTCATGAATAAATAAATAAAATCTTAAAAAAAAAAAAAAGGGAGATTTGAATGGATTTGTTTCACAGTTGTATTACCAGTAAGAAGTTACTGAAGAGTCTTCAATGACTCCAGGATGCAAAATTAAACTATTTTCTTTTATTTGGAATGTATGGAAAATAGGTTTATGTAATCAATAAGTATGTTTGTGCTACAGAAGTCATGTATGTAATTTTGCCTGTAAATCTACTGTTAACTGGAAATGTTTTTCTTTTATGTTTTTAATAGGATCACAGTCTGAGGTGGTAAGTACAAAATTTTTATCCTTCATGTTCTCACTTATAATTTTGCCATATTTACTTGAGACAGGCCTCTGAATGATCTTTCTTTTGCTTAGATCTTGAGCAATTCCGTGTAAATATTTTTTCCTTTAGTAAGTGAAATAATACCATTTTTTGGTGAAATAAATATACAGGTTTATAGTCATAAAAATTACTGGGGTTGTTTAATGTGTGATTCAAGTTGATTTGGCATATTTTAGTATGGTCAGGGTGGTTACTTTTTATCTTTTCCTTGCTGAAAAGTCCTCACATTTAGGTTTAAGGTCTGCCTTGGAAGCACTTTCAGGATTTATCATGGTGTACTAAGAACACAAAAGTAAAGTAAAATTTGGAAATGTTTATCACTGTCCAATTCAGTTTCACATTTGTTATTTTGGACATGAAGATTTCCAAGTCTTTTCAGTTATTATAAACTATGGTGGAGTTGGGATCCCTGGGTGGCGCAGCAGTTTGGCGCCTGCCTTTGGCCCGGGGCGCGATCCTGGAGACCCGGGATCGAATCCCACATCGGGCTCCCGGTGCATGGAGCCTGCTTCTCCCTCTGCCTGTGTCTCTGCCTCTCTCTCTCTGTGACTATCATAAATTAAAAAAAAAAAAAAAATTCAAACTATGGTGGAGTTGAAAGTTGATTTTTTTTTTTTTTAACCGATTAGGTTTATATATAACACACATAGTTACATTATGGCTAGTGGTTTTTAGCAATGATCATGTGAAATTCAGTCAGGAGATAATGTGTGTAGTCTTTATGAGTGGTTACTTAACCTATTTGGATCTCTTTGTGTCTGAAGATGATTGACATCTTTTTCTTCTAGAATTACATTGTGACACTGAGAAACTCTTTTATTTGCGCTTGCTTCATTTATAAACTGGCCCAATAGAGCTAATCTACTTCAGGCAGGTTGTTGTGAGCATCAGGCCAGAAATGTTTATATATAGTGATTGGAGTTTTGAACATCACCAAAAGTGAACCCTGCCTCTTATCCCTGTACCTCAAAGGCTTGTCCATAGTCCTAAGGATGATGGATGAGGGAAGTATTTAAAAGTTGGCTTCCTTTGGAGTACCTGGGTGGCTCAGTTGGTTAAGCGTCAGACTCCTGATGTAGGCTCAGGTCATGATCTCAGGGTCATGAAATCCAACTCTGTGTCAGGATCCATGCTTAGTGCAGAGTCTTATTGTCCCGCCTACCTCCCCCCCCAAATAAATAAATAAAATCTTTAAATACATAAATAAAAGTTGGCTTCCTTTGCCTGCAGGTTTTTTTTTTTTTTTTTTTTTTTTTTTAGGTCTTAAATAGTATTATATTTGGGATTGGAACTATTTCTGAAAACAACAGAATAGCATTTGAATGGTACTTTGTCTAGTAACACAAACAGCTGTTTAGCCACAGTGAATTTTGTTATTGCTGTGGTTCACACTAGTTTAATCTTTGTACCAAGGTGAACTGGAATAGTCTGTTCTAGTCATTATCTCTACTTGATCACTTGGATTCAGGTATTTCTCAGTGGTTAACACTGGAGAGTAATTCTGAGTTAGACTCAAATGGGTAGATGGGTTTTATTATCTTCTTCTAAATTTCATCTCTTTCCTATCATTTAGGGACAACTTAGAGGTCACTTACGACTCAGGGCAAGTTCTTTAATAAGTCTTAACTGGTACATGTGTAGTTTAGGAAAGTAGGTATTGACCAAGAGCTGTTTCTTGATGGATGATGTAGAATGTTGCCGAGAGACCATAAATGGAGTAAGGTGTTATCTGGAAGGCACCATGGAAATGTTCCTTCATACGTTCCAGAGTAGCGTTTGATGCCACTGTTAAGTCTGAAGGTTATATACTGTTTCTAAAAAATGTTTTTTTTTTTTAAATGGCATTGTTATTTTTAGTGTAGAGAGACTTGGAACTCGACTTTTAAATGTAGCCTTTTCCAGTCTTCCCCTTAGAAAGCTTTTTGGGTTGTATTTATTTTTATGTTATTTTATTTTTTACTTCAATTTCGTTAACATATAGTGTATTGTTAGTTTCAGAGGTAGAATTTAGTGATTCATCAGTTGTGTACAACACCCAGTGCTCATTCCATCAAGTGCCCTAGTTAATGCCCAGCACTCAGTGCTCCATCCCCCTCTCCACCTCCCCTCTAGCAACCCTCAGTTTGTTACCTATAGTTAAGAGTCTATATGGTTTGTTTTCCTGTTTTCATCTTATTTTTACTTCCCTATTTGCTTTTATTTTAGAAGAAAAATCTTTTTTGAAGTTTTAATTCCTAAAATTATAAAAAATGTTGAACATTCTAATATTTTGTGAAGGCTAGTATTATTTAGCAATTAATGGATACCGTGCTTTGTTTTTGAGGAATATTTTCATGTAATTACTCCATATCAAAGTAACCATAGCACTGCGTAAATTAACAATACGTGCATTTTAATACACAGTTGCTAATTTGTAAAAATTTCTTTCAACTTGCCAAAATCAGTCTGATTCTCAAAGGACTCATCAGTCAAAAATCAAGTAAGTGTTTCTTCTTCATAAAATAATGTATAATAAATATGCCCAAAGGGAAAAATCCTGTTCTTTAATAATAATAAGCAAGTCCTTATCCTGTGATTTTCAGTGGTTTTTAGTTTTTTTTAGAAATTGTGTTTAGCTTGGAAAAACTAATTCTAAGGCTGTTTACTGATTGATATTAGTGTTTATATTAAGGTTAAATTCAAATCACTTCTCCATTTTAAAGTTGCTTCATCTGGTTCCATATTATATCACCTTTCCATGTATGGCAAGAACCTCTTCCAGTTATTACATGGGTAAATTAGTAGTAGGATTGTCAAATTGTAACTACCTTTTATATTTTAGAGTAAATTTTTAATAGAGTAAGTCTACATGAGTTGATAGTGACTGTTGCTTAAGGCAGCAGGGTAATGAGTTTAGCATCTAGCAAATATTTGAATTTATTTTTAATTATTCCTTAGCCATGTGTACAACTTGTATTCTTAGGACTGTAATAGAAAAAAACACAAGGCATTGATCTGGAGCTTTACATCCTTACTGAATTTCAGAGGGAAACAGATTCTTAAAGTTCATTTCTTTAATCAAGGTGCATTTTAATTACCTAAAATGGCTTGGAAATGTTAAAACAGAACTACCTATTCGTGCTCTTTCTGGAGAGATTTAGGGTGACTTTCCAAGTACCAAGTAGACAAGGAACTTTGACTAGCTTGGTAGCAGGAGCAGGTGTAGAACACAAACATCAAGTAATAATTACGGTGTTTGGAGCATAAAATTATCCAAAATTGATTTAATACTGTTATTGTGTACCAGGCATTGTGGTTAGTCCTAGAAATATAATAGTGGCAGGATAGATAAGTGGCTTTACCTCATGGCATTTATAATCTAATATAGTCACATTTGAAAGTGAGGATCCCTACATTTTTAGAGCCTTCTGTTGGAAAGATACACATAATTAGAATCTCCAGGCACATTAGTTTTCCCATGTACCTTGAGACCGAAAGAAGATACTATATTTAATGTTTTGCCTGGCCAGAGTGAGTTAAATTTTAAGTTATTTTAATTTTAGCTCATTTGCTTCTGTTCCCCGTGTTCAGGGCTGTTGGCCCTAGCTAGCTTCAATTAAGAGATTTTTGGAGTGTGGAGTCCAGCTGACCTGGTTCTGGTGTAACACCTGCCGCTGATTGACGGATTGCTTTGCTCTTCTGGGCTTTTCATCTGTAAAAAAGGGATAGAAGTGCTTTTTCTTAGTATTAAGTTGAAATGAAAGTGTAATGCTATTAATGGTATAACAGCTGTTAAGAGTAAATTTCATCTTCAGCATTAGCTTAAGCACAATATTAGAGATATCAATCAGAACCCAGAAAACCATGTATGTATTTAAGTCTCCTGGAAAGGTTTGAGGCATCATACCCTACTGTTCTTTTTCATTAGTACAGATCAAAGAAAATTAGTTATATAAAACTGTTTCTGTGACTCACTATCTGCTTTGCTAATTTGTTCCTCAAGGTGGAGCTCTTGTTGTTTATCAGACTGTAGTTTTTAATCTTGTCAAAATGTAAAGCAGCAACTTTAAGAAAATTAGATGTTCTGAGGTGTTTTTTTTCTTTTTTAATAGGTATGACTGGTATCAAACAGAATCTCAAGTAATCATTACACTTATGATCAAGAATGTTCAGAAGAATAATGTAAATGTGGAATTTTCAGAAAAAGAGGTTATTATAATCTTTGAACCATTTTTTTTTGTTTTGAGATTAAATACTTTTATTTGCAAATATAGTATATTGCAAAATAGTCTATAGCAGTATATCAGATATATCATTTCTTCCTGAGACATAGAGAATGCTGATGAAGATCTGAAGCATTGCTTTTCAGCTTGAATGATTTTACATTTTGAGACTAAAGTATACTGTAGATTATAGCTAGATGTTTGTTTTCTTTTTCTTTAGATTTAAAATTCAAAGGAGAATTTGGTTGATAAATATTAAAGACATTAGTAAGATATATGATTTGGCTACATTTGTGTGGTATACTTTATGAAAAAGGTCTTATTTGTTGTATGATTTATAGGTCTTTAGAATTTACTTAACCACATTAAATTAGTGTGACTTTAATAACTTGTTTTTTTAGCATTTGGTAGAAAACTTTAATGATGCTTTAGTGGTAGAAGTGTTTTGCATATGAATACTTTCTCTTTTGTTATAAATTGTATTGTTTTGCTCTTATATCTTAAGTTTTCTAGAGACTTAAATGTTAAATACATGTTTGAAACATACTATTTTCTGCTTATTTACTTATGTCTGTGAGAATCCATGTAAAGGATATCAGGTAGGAAGGATGGTTTTCCATTTTTTAAATCTGATAGTCCATATAAAGTGTTTAAAGTAATCTGCAGTGGTATTGAAATTCTGTAATTATGTTCAGTGTAAGTATTTTATGTCTCATTATATAAATTTATGAACTGTGCTGCTAATTTTGTATTTATTAGTTGTCTGCTTTGGTGAAACTTCCTTCTGGAGAGGATTACAATTTGAAACTGAGACTTCTTCATCCTATAATACCAGAACAGAGCACATTTAAAGTACTTTCAACAAAGGTAAGACAATTTTTAAAGAGTCGTCAGTAGTGAGGGCATCTGGCTGGCTCTGTTTTAAAAGCATAAACTCTCGATCTTGGGGTCATGAGTTCAAACCCCCCATCGGGTATAGAGATTACTTAAAAGTGAGTAAAAGAGTTGTCAGTAGTAGTATTTTAAATATATAGAAATATTGGTCAACTAATCACCCATGTGATTATAAGCCTATAGATCCTTTTAAGCACATATCTTCAAATTCAAAGGGACAGGTAAATAAGGACCATAAATTTTGAGTAACAGTTTTCCCCTCCCTATATTCTAGGGCAATGGAATGTAAAAATCAATTTAACCTCAATAGTGTTTGTATACTTAGATTGGTATAATATTTATTGAAGAGGTTTTCAAAAAAGATGAAAGCCTCTTTTTAAGATTTGATACCAACAATGTTCTTCTCTTGAACTTGTCTATTTGTACGTACAAATACTTTGTCACCCTGCCTTCACACAAAAATATGAACTACTATGAAGAGGAATCTGCTCTTTGTTTTTTAACTAAGCTGAATTTTAGAATACTTTGTTATGATAGAATAATGAATATAATTTAAATTACATTTTAAGTAATTATATAACTTTTAGATTTCTTTATATTTTCAAAAAGAAGTAAAATATGCAATAGAATTAAAATTCATGTAACGTTTTAAATAGTGATCAAAAGATGCAGATAGTGTAATTAAGTTGGACAAGTACTCAGTTGAAAAATAAAAAAATCTGACTCTGGCTCTTTGCTTGCCTTATAAATTTAGACTAGTTACAAAATTATTATAGGACTAAATTTCACTCTTTAAAAATGAGAGATACGGACTAAGTGAGCTCTGAAATTTTTCATTCATAAAATTGTATGAAGGTGTATAATGAATTAATAACAACAGATGATATAAGTGGACTTTTTTCATCACTACACCTTCTTTATACAAATGTCTTACAACATTTTATGTTAGTAACTATTGAGTTTTAGTTCTAAGGATGTGTGAATTTTCCTATCCTAGAATAGATTCAGGATTGGCCCGTGTATGGGAGGATTTCATAGCTGGGCCTACAGAAAGAAGACGATACCTGCAGAGCATTTGAGCACAAGTGCAAAGTTAAGAAGTGGTAGTTTTTTGCATCTAGTTAGAAGTGATTTGGCCACTTACTGATTTGAAGATTATAAAGTACAGCGCTGTTAAATTATGAGTGGAGAGAAGAAACTGTTGTTTGGATGATAGAAAGTGAGAAAAAGGGATAAAATCTTAAGGCAGATTTTAGTCTTACTGACCCCATCCACATAGTGTAGAATTTGTTTAACAAAAGAAGTGTAAATAATCAACCACAAAACTCTAGCTAGATTTGAGAGGTCAGAAAATTATGAGTTTGGCATTTTTGTACATATTTTTATCAACAGGTTGTTAATGCGTGTTCTTTTGAAGTAGTTTAAATGGAAACTGATTAATGTGACTAGATTGTAAATGACTTAAAAACGTGTGTGTTACTCATCTAATTTATGGACAAATAGAATGTGGTGATAAATGCACAAGTCTGTGTGGCTAGAATTTTGGATGTTAACAAAGCCCTGTTATCTCTCATTCTTTATTCTTTGACTCTTGAGTGCTTGTTGATTCAAATCATTCTGCCCCTCTGCTGTATTCCTAGTTGCTGTTTTGTCCCTTTCTTCTTTCTTTAAGTGCAACATAATAACTACTTTACTTTTTTGTATAGTAGTTTATGTAAACATTTTATTTCTCTTGCATTTAGTCTGTGAGGATAAGAAGCATATCATATTTGTGTGTTTATATGCTCCAAAAAAGAATGCTCCAGTTAACTCTACAAACAATGAGTAATTTTTTCGTATAAGTATGTTCCATGGGCACCTACGTAGCTCACTTGGTTAAGTGTCTGCCTTTCAGCTCAGGTCATGATTCTGGGGTCCTGGGATCAAGCTTAGTGGAGCTCCCTGCTTATTGGAGAGGCTGTTTCTCCCGCTCCCTGCCCCCACCACATTCTCTTTCTCTCTCAAACAAATAAATCTTTAAAAAAAAAAAAAAGTGTTGCATTTGCTAAATATATGCCTAGCCCTGTGCATTGTACAGTTGAAATAATTGTACTTAATTTTATCTTAAAAGGAATGAAAGTTTTGAATCTTTTTTCATACAGCTTAGATTGTTATAATACTGAAAATATTTTGTGGGTTACTGAGGCTTACTTAGTGATGATGCTAAGAGAAAAAGTAATTTACTCTTCATGTGTATTCATGTCTTGACTCCTTTATGTGAGAAGAAGATGATTCTGCTTAGAAAAGTCTGCTTAAAATTAGAGATTCTGTAAAATCTGTGCTTTTTAAAGTGGCTATTTCTTTGCTCTGAGAATCCATTTTTTTTCTTTTCCATACTCAAGGTTGAATAAATGTTGCATATTCATGTATAATCATTAGTTAAGTGTTATTACTTTAAGTGAAATATAATTTGCCATGAAAATAAGATATGTAGGACTCTTAATGAAATAGCATTTCTTAATCAAATATTTTACAATGTCCTATATATGTTTTTCCAAGTCAGAATTCATATTTTTTTTCAGTACCTCTGATAGTTATTTCTACCTTTTTATTGAATACCAGCTTTAATATCTGCCTCTTAATTCATTTTTTTTTTTAAAGATTTTATTCATGAGAGACACAGAGAGAGAGGCAGAGACACAGGCAGAGGGAGAAGCAGGCTTCTTCATGCAGGGAGCCTGACGTGGGACTGGATCCTGGGTCTCCAGGATCAGGCCCTGGGCCGAAGGTGGTGCTAAACTTCTGAGCCACCCGGGCTGCCCTTAATTCATTTTCTTTATTAAGAAACTGTAGTGTTCCTTTTGTTCTGTCTTGTTAATTTCATGACACTATACTCACAATCGCAGGATTATAACTTCAATGACGGCGATGCTATGAAATAATTCATTTTAAAGAATATTTACTCAAAAATTAGAATTTTCAAAATCCTTTGGAGTAAATTCACTCTTGTAGAAGTGTTCTTCGGGGCATCTGGCTGGATCAGTTGGTGGATTGTGTGACTCTCAGTCTCAGGGTTGTGGGTTCAAGTCCCACATGGGTGTAGAGATTATTTAAAAATAAAATAAAAAAAGAAATGATCTTCTATTCCTAATTTTAGTCAAAGCAATATTTTTGTATTATATCTATATAAAACACAAAGGCTTTTAACTGGAATTGTGGGAAGTAAAATGTGTGTCTTTACTTGGAGACAATAGCTCCCTTCTCCCCTCTTAACTAAGTAAAATTTGAGAAGTTTTAGAGTGAATTCCTTTTCTTAATATTCATAGAAAGATCCTGATGATGATGATGTGATAGAGTTGGAGAATCTGGGCAGGATACTACTGCTTTTTTAAACAGATGTAGGGGTTTTGGGATTGCTTTATATCTTTTTTTTTTTTAAGGTTTTTTAAATTTATTTTAGAGGGAACACATGTGAGCAGGGGGGAGAGGCCTGGAGGGAGGGAGAGAGAATCCCTAGTGGACTCCACACTAAGTGCAGAGCCTAACTCAGGGCTCAGTTGTGTGAACCTGAGATCATGATCGAAGCTGAAAATCAGGAGTCAGATGCTTAACTGATTGAGCCACTCTGGTGCCCCATGTTTTTTGTCTTCTTGATACAGTGGTGAAGGTAATAGGCTTTTTTTTTTTTTTTTTTGATAAGTAAGTAGTTCCCAATAATCTACAAATTGTTTTTGAAGTATATTCTTGCTACCTTCTGTACTAAGCATATTTATATATTTTCTTTTTTTTAATTTTTATTTATTTATGATAGTGGGGGGGGGCAGAGACATAGGCAGAGGGAGAAGCAGGCTCCATGCACCAGGAGCCCGATGTGGGATTAGATCCCGGGTCTCCAGGATCGCGCCCTGGGCCAAAGGCAGGTGCCAAACCGCTGCGCCACCCAGGGATCCCATATATTTTCAAAAGAAAAGGATTTTACTGTAAATACAGTGTCTATAGCTGTCTTTTTATTTTAGTTTTTAAAGATTTTGTTTATTTGACACAGAGCAAGCATCCCTGCACAAGCAGGAGGAGTGGCAGAGAGAAGCAGGCTTCTGAGCAGAGAGCCCAATGCAGAGCTCGATCCCAGGACGCTGGGATCTCAGCAGTTAGCTGACTGAGCCTCCCAGGCACCCTTATAGCTTTCTTTTTAAATTTAGCTGTACGTTTTGGATAATTTTTTTTTTAAGATTTTACTTATTTATTTATCAGAGACAGAGAGAGAATGGCAGAGACATAGGCAGAGGGAGAAGCAGGCTCTCTGCAGGAGCCCAATGTGGGACTCGATCCGAACCCCAGGATCACGCCCTGAGTCAAAGGCAGATGCTCAACCACTGAGCCACCCAGGTGTCCCACATTTTGGATAATTTGTTTCATGCTTAAGTATTCTACAACAAATATTTTAACTGTCTGCACTTTATTTAGCCAGACCCATACTGTTTGACCTGTGCAGAATTGTAGTAGGTAACTGTTGTGACTGCTGTGTATTAGCCCATGTAATCCTCACAAATACTGCCTGATGTGTAGGTATTTTTATCATCTATTTACAGGTATAAACTGAACCCAGAGATGTTAAATAATTTGTCCAGATTTTTTAGCTAATTATAATGATGAAGATAATGGTAATAGCAGTCAGTTATTTGCCAGACACAGTGTTCTGTTCTTTTCATAGATGGTTTTATTTAACCCTTGTAAGTGTATGTGCTGCTGAAGCGAGCACTCGTTTAACCCTCATAAGAACCCTAAATGAAGTAGACCCTATTAATCACTTTTTATGGGAAAAATAGAGGCTCAGTGAGATTAGTTACTTGTTTGTGGTCGTATTTCCAATAAGTAGCACCTATTTATGACTCTTCACTGAAATTACACAATTGATAGTTTTTGTCTTGTTTTCAACCTCTGCTTATTTCTCAGGAAATAAGTAAAACTTCTGGCAGTAAAATACTTCCAGCAAGTTGCATATCTTATCTGTCTCATCTGTAAAATATGGATGATAATCTCCTTTTTTTATAGGATTGTTCTATTAAGTGAGGTGATGTACATGAAGCATGCAAGGTATATAATAGTGCTCAATAAATATTACTGCTATTATTATTTTATCCTGATTACTTAAATTTTTATTCTGGTTATAAATCCAATGAATGAATATCATAGAAAATTTGGAAAAATACAAAAGAGCTGAGAAAGTAATCATTCATTCTCACTACTAATGACATATGGCCTAGTTCCAGGAAGCTAGACTATTTTCCTGTATTGAGATCTTTCGCTACAGGTGATATATAGTGCAATTTTTTGTTTATGGGAATATCTCTTCTCATTACTTTCTTTAAGAAGAAGAGAGTCTGGGACACCTAGGTGGCTGAGTGGTTGAGTGTCTGCCTTCAGCTCAGGGTGTGATCTCAGAGTTCTGGGATTGAGTCCAACATTGGGCTCCCTGCTGAAAGCCTACATCTCTCTCTGTGGTCTGTTTCTTTCTGTGTCTCTAATGAATAAATAAGTAAAATCTTAAAAAAAAAAAAAAGAACAGTATTTGTATTCTTATATGTATTATCACAGTGCCTGGTCCAGAGTAGGCTCTCAGTAAATATTTGAATTGTGATATTAGAACTTGGGTGAGATTTCAGCTTTTTGTCATTAATTACTGTCTTCTGCATTTTAAAAAATGACTAAAATGATTTGAGCATAAAAATAAAAATGGTCAATGTGCAGTATGGCTTTAGGAAGACCGAGTTTACTCTTTTCAGATGAAGCAGTTAGATGCAGCCATTAAGTGTGCAAAGAGCTGAGTAGGAGAACATTGGGAAAATTACATCCTAAAGGTCAGAAACAATTACTTAATGACTATAGCCTTGAAAGAGATGGCTGTCAAAACTTTGCCAGAAGAAAAAGGAGTTTAGCAGTAAACTGCCACAGCTCTCTATCTAGTCTCTGAGAAAGATGTCTTCACTGTCAATCTGGCAATAAGTGGGAGCTTTACCCCTCTCCAAAGAAGGTGGTGTCTGGATGCCATTGTCCCTTTTGGAGTAATGGCTTCCTTTTAAATCTGAAATTTGAAGTATATATTAAATATAAAAAGTAAAAAAAAAAATAAAAAAAATAAATATAAAAAGTATTTGTGTAAAGAATTTAGAGGTGGATGGTAGTATGCAAAACATTGAAAAATAATAATCTGGAAGAGCAGGGATTCTTACTAGTAATCTGTGTACTGCTTTGGGATATTATTGAAAACCTTCCTCGTGCATATGTGTGGAACATTCAAACCAAAGTTTTAAGTTAACTTTTAAATGAGTTTTGAGTTAAATGCAAATAGAAAAAGCTTATTAATTGTTGGAATAAAAATATCTGAAATTGGGCTTGTAACTCTAGAGGTACCTGCCAAAGTCATGAAAACTTAAAACTTCATTTTTAAAAGCCTATATAAGCACTGAAAGTGAAATAGGTGTAAAAAAGAAAGTCACAGGAAATTAGTTCCTCCCACTTTTATTTTTTTTAAAAAGCTAATTAAGTGTGGTTTATTATGTGCAGCTATTTTAATGAATGGATTAAATATAATTTTAAGTTCAGGTCAGCTTGTCTCACTCGATTCGGGGTTTTTACTAAGAGCTTTGACTTTGGCCTTACAAAGGCTTCTTTTGTTCATGCTGCACAATTACTCAGGTTATAGTGGCTTTGAGGAGATGTGAATGTTAGTGTCTGCTGCTCTTTAGGCGAAACAAGGAACTTTTTATAGACTTTGTAAGTATAGGAACATGAGGTATGAATATAGGGTGCCCTGAAGCAGAGGTTAGTTAAGGATAGTGTTGATGTACACACTGCTTGCCAAGTCTTTATTTCCAGATGAGTTGAAAAAGGAGCAAGATGCAGTTTTACATTTTAGGGTGATAATATCCCTTTTCAGTAACTGCTTGCTGTGTCATTGCCAGCTATTAGATTTTTGCCCTTTTGACAAATATTCCAGCAATGACAAGTTCAAATTACTGGATTACTATTACTTAATACTGTGTATGAGAAAATATTGGTAGTATTTTATTTTATAAAAATTAGTCATCATTTTAGAGAATTCTAGAGATTATTATAGTTTTATTTAGAATTTAAACACATAAATTACGTTAAAAATACTGTACTTTTGGCCTCTTTCCCAGTGACATTTGTTTCATGGTGTTTTTCATTATGAAAACAGTTTCTTGTTACATTTCTGTGCTAAAGAAAATACATATACTCAGAGATCACACCCCTTCTATATCATCACTTCATGTCTGGTTAAAAGTATTGGCAGATTTCTCTATTAGTCTTTTGTTAAGGTATTTTAAAATGCAAATTTTAAGGATTCTATCACTAAATGCAAGTGGTAGTTTACCAGTAATTGCTAGTTGGAGTGATTTATCTGATTTAAAGGAGTCTCAAAGAACCAGCGTGAATAGGCTTGTCTTTTAGTTACATTTGTCTTTTGATTTTTTTTTCCTATTTACAAAAGTAAGTCCTTTTCTTAGAAAAAAATTAGAATATTCTATTTTTTTTTTTTTTAAAGTATATTCTATTTTGAGGGGCACCTGGGTGGCTGAGTTGGTTGAGCATTTCAACCTAGATTTCAGTTCACACTCTGTGCTGGGTGTGGAGCCTGCTTGGGATTTTCTCTCTGCATCTCCCTAAGCCCCTCCCCCCCGCTCACACTTCTTCTGTCTCTAAATAAGATCTTTTTAAAAAAAAATTCTATTTTGGTTCTTCAATTGTTGCATAATAATTATGTTTAGTAAACTGTAAGTGCTAAAGCACCTGGGTGGCTCAGTTAAGCATCTGCCTTCGGCTCAGGCCATGATCTCAGGGTCTTGGGATTGTAACCCCGAGTCAGGCTTCATGATCAGTGAGGAGTCTGCTTCTCTCTCTTTCTCTGCCTCTGTCCCCCACTTGTGCACGTGCACGCTCTCTCTCAAATAAAATCTTAAAAAAAAAAAAAAACTATAAATGCTGATTTTGCTAGGCTAAAAATGGGAGTGAGCGTATTATTTGAATAAGGAAAACTAAAGGTAGATGAAGGTGCTCTGTGAGTGTCTGTTAGAGTTAAGGATAGACTCTAGGGGACCAGCCTTGATTAGAGAGTTGAAGATGCTCTTAATATTTCATTTTAGTAAGTGAAGCTAGTTTAGCATTCAGAAGCTCTTCGTAGTTTGCCTTACACCTTTTTAATCTGTATTTTTTACTGTTCTAACATAAATCCTAGACGACTTGAGACAAATTGGTCTTGTCTGTACTCCCTGATGTACTGTGTCCTATGAAACCTTAGGGATCCAGTTTTAGGCTGTTCATATTGAGGCTGAAGACCTCTCCCTTCCACCGTTGCAAATGCTTCTGCCCCTCAAAGCTCTTCAAGGTGTGCTGAAACTTTTTCTTTTCACACCTAGATGTGATCTCTGCTAAGTTTTTAGAACATTTATTTGACTCTTGATCAACTTTCTTCTAGTATTTCACCTACCTCCAGATGGTCAAGAACATGTTTCTTTAATATTTAAAAAATCCACCACATCCCTGATGATTACAACTTGCTCATACTGGGTATTTAATAATTATAGAGTGAATGATTGTAAAAATTTTAGCGTTTGTTGTATTATTTTTACACAATGATACCAATCTGTCCACTCTCAAATAGGTTAATACACATGCAAATGTAGTAATTCTTCTATATATTTTTTAATATTTTAAAATTTATTTTAGAGAGTGTGAGCAGGGGGAGGGGCAGAGAGAGGGAGAGAAAGAAAGAGAAGCAGACTCCCTGTTGAGTGTAGAGCCTGGCTAGGGGCTTGATTTCAACAACCAGAGCTGAGATGAAGAGTCAGAGGCCTAACCCACTGAGCCACACAGGCATCCCTGAAGTAATTCCTTTAGATCAGGGTTTCTCAGTAGGGGGCACTGTTGACATTTTGGGATGGAAAATTCTTTTTTGTGGAAAATTCTTTTTATGTTATTGGATGTTTAGTAGTATCCTTAACTCCCTCCCAGGTGTGATGAGCAACGATATCCATAAACATTGCCAAGTCACCCCTGGTTGAGAACAGTGTACTGGAAGAAAAAAGCATATGGATTTCAAGACTTTTAACTATAGCTTATAGTATGTGTATGTTGTTTTTGAAGGGTGGCTTTTAAGTAGGAACAACATGTTTCAAAGTTCTTCGCATTTAACCTTATGTATAATTTAAAGAAGTTATCTCAAGGGCACTATTAATTTTTATAAAATTTTATGACTTAAGGAAATTGCATTTGTTTTTACTGTTCTGTATATTTTACATTGAATAATAAATTTTATTTGGTGTTTCCTCCAGATTGAAATTAAAATGAAAAAGACAGAGGCTGTGAGATGGGAAAAGCTAGAGGGGCAAGGAGATGTGCCTAAACCAAAACAGTTCATAGCAGGTTTGTTTTCTGGCCTTGATGAGCTTTAAATTCGCAATGTTTTATATAGTTGAAGTTAAATAGTAATGAGCATTCTTTCTACTTTCATTATTTATGTTCCCAAGAAAAGGTACATTGAGTGCAATAAGATTGCTCTGTAATGAATACAAATTAGCCTTTCATGTGAAGGTTCTAACTTCTTAAACTCAGAATACAAATGAATAGAAGCAGAAACTCTGAGGGGGTTGGGATTATATTGTTTACCTCCTCAGTGTATGACATTAGTTGGGGGTTGTTTTTGTGTGTTGCCCTTGCCTATTGTTTCTGGGTTGTAAATGAATTAGAGGTTTATTCTGCTGAAATATTTTCCTCCTCTCTCCCTTTTATTTATTCTTTTCTGTTCTATTGATATTGTCAGGTCATTTCCTAGTATTTTGGGGCTTCTAACCCATTTCACTATATTGCTGAAATATCTAACCCATTTTGTTATATTGCTCTTAAAGAGTAAAATACTTAATCTATTTCTATATTACTCTTAAAGAAGTGGTTACAAACAGGTCGTGAAAACCTAAGAAAAGCCTCAGAGAAGAGTGGAAAGCTAGGGTTGGCTGTTTTTATCATGTAAGGAACAGACTGTGTTGTTCAGTTTTAAGCATATGCCAGACAGGTGTTTTTCTAATGAGATAATTAACCTGTTAGATACTCCTAGAACTACACCTAAGAGTGTATTTTATAGCAGTGACCTCATTGATGAAGGAGAGAAATTTCTTTTTGGTTAAATATTCGGATTTGATCACTAAAATGAGTTAACATTGTATTTCAGCTACTTTTAGATTTTTCACTACTTTTTGTAACAGAAAACAATTTCCTTGTGGCATCTTATAGAAAACACTGAGTTAGCCAACAAACTATTCATTTTATTTTTATTTTGAAATAATTTTAGGTGCCCCAGAAGTTACAGAAATGATACAGGTTCTCATATACCTTTCACCTAGCTTCCCTGCATAATAACATCACAACTAGTCTATAGTATAATTAGCAAAACGAGGAAATTGGCATCAACAGATAATTTTTAAGGATTGAAATATTTAAAGTTGGTATTTAAGCTCCTAAGCTTCTGCTTCACAGTTTATTTGAAAGACATAGTAAAGATGTTACGTGCTTCTTTTGGGTCTGACTCCCAGAGATTTTGAGTCTGACTCCCAGAGATTTGGGGGCTGATGTTTATCTATAGCTTAAAGCAACTTTTTAAAGAAACTCTTTAAATGTAGTATCTCACTGAATACTGACAGCAGCCCTCTAGAATAGGCAGCCCTATTTTACAGGTTCTGTAAGTAAGCAACTTGCTTAGGATCACCCAGCAGTTTTTATGGTCTTAAGCCTAACCCTCGTCTTCGGGGTCTGGGTCTGGTTCTTACCTAGACTTTGTATGTGATATTGGTTGTTGCTACATCTTCTGACAATGGGGGAAAAAATTATCTGTTGACAGGAGTATTTTGCAGTTATTTGCTTTTATAATGCATGAACAAAGAAGTTAGATTACCCATCCATCCCTCAGTAGTTTTTCCACTATCTTTGAGTGTTACAGTTTTTCTGAGATTAAATATAAAGATTTCTTTAGTGTTACTGAGCAGAATTTTTCTAAACTCAATGCCTTAGATATTTCAGATGCTATTCCTCCTGCTCTATCATATTTTTGTATGGAATTAATATGCTTGTCAGATTGCTCTATCCTGCAAGCTAGAAACTTGCAGATAAGGGCAAGTTGCTTAACCTGTCTGGGCCAGTTTTCTTATCGGTAAATTGGAGGTTAGAACCTGTGTTCTCATTCTTCTGGGGAGTAAGCATAAGGATTAATTAAACCAATGTTTTTTAGGCCCAATTTACCATGACACACATTTTTTTGTTTTCTTTGGTTACTAGTGAAAATGCACGTAAATGATAAGAGCAGGGATTCCTGGTAGAGGAAGGATAGATCGGAAAACTATGCTTACTCTAAAAAAAAACTGTAGGGTGCTGTTTGGTTTTGTTTTGCTGGGGAAGATGGGCAAGGAGAAAGTTGGTTTACAGGTGAAGAGAGCGGATGGAACACAAGACAGTTAATAGTTTCTTATTTCTGAACTGTTTTGAGGAAAGGGATATAGAGAGGCAGTAATGGAAGGAAGGACATTTAATTTGTCCTGATGTATTCATAGGAAAACTTTGAATGGGGTGTTTTTAAAGTTGTATAGCTACATTGTCCAGTATAGTTGCTACATGTACCTACTGAGCCTTTGAAAATGACTAGTCTGGATTGAGTTGTGCTGGCAGTATAAAATACCAGATTTTGAAAACTGTATGAAAGAAAGAACATAAAATGTCTTCATGTATTTATATGGATTCATGTTGAAGTGATATTGTTTTGAATATATTAGGTTAAATAAAATATATTAAAATGCATTTCGCCTGATTCTTTTTAGTAACATGGCTATTAGAAATTTTTAAATTATGTACATGGTTCACATTTGTGTCCTGCATTCTTTCCATTGGAGAGTGAATAGAACTGCTCTACAGCTACTACATAGATTATTTTTTAATTATTTGGATTCCATGATCTTGATTCCTTTAGTCTTTAAGGTAGCCTTGGCGGTGCCCTGAGCCCCGAGGCCAGTCAGTAGTCTCTTTGGCTGCAAGTAGGCTTCATTTACCCCAGTGTGCCCTACAAGTACACTTATTTTCTATGTGTGTGTGAGTGGGCATTGGACTCTAGATGATCACATGGTGTATTTTTCAACATTCAAGAATTCCTTATCTCCTATTGAAGCAGTCTAATATTTTAATTTGGGGAGAGGATGGAGCTTTAACTGTCTAATGGCATGGATGATTACTTACATTTTCAATTTATTTCTACTCTGAAAGATAGAGAAGCACCTCAAAAGAAGCCACATTTTTAATACTTGTTAAAATCTTGTTTATAAGAGAAATTTCTTAATGGAGCATCATTTAAAAAAAAAACACTGTTTTTAGAATTGTACTATCTTTGCTATTTTCTGTAAATATAAAAGTTCCAGTATACTTCTCGTTCAGTCCCCTCATTAGCACAAAGAATGTTTTTAATCTAATTTTGCGTAATGTACCAAAAATGTACCCTTTGTTAGATTATTTTGTTCAAAAAAATTCCCAGATTTTATATTATGCTGATTGAATTTTTAGAAGTGTAGATCTGATTATTGATGTATGTATCACAAAGACATTTATTATAAATATGAAATTCAGTGACCTAAACTGTTTGCTGAGATGTTCTATATATCATGGTCACAAAGTTTACATATTCTTGACATAATCATCACAGGTTGATTAATCACTTCTATCTTTTTTACTCCACAGATGTAAAGAACTTATATCCATCGTCATCTCATTATACAAGAAATTGGGATAAATTGGTTGGTGAGATCAAAGAAGAAGAAAAAAATGAGAAGTTGGAGGGAGATGCAGCTTTAAACAAATTATTTCAGCAGATCTATTCAGATGGTTCTGATGAAGTGAAACGTGCCATGAACAAATCATTTGTAAGAACATAAACTTGAAAAAAATATTGTGGTAGCAAATTTCAGAAATTTTAAAAGAAAGATTAAGTAGTCAATTTGAAACCAAATTGCATATACTATAGTTGGGGGGCTTTTTTTGAATAGGCTTCATCTGAACATTTCTTCCTGCTCTAAACTTAGAGTAATTATTGAGGAAGTTGGAAACTTGTGGGGGAGTTGAGAAGCAAGCTATTGCTTGCTTTATTTATTCCAAATAAATATTTTTTAGTCATTGAGTTAGAACTTGGAAGGCTTAAGAAATACTCTGATTACTTTAGTTGGCTTTATCACAATGGCTGAAGGAGCTTCCATTAAACCATGGATAGGCTCAGTGTCAGAAAAGAAGAATATAGTTAGGAAACTGCCAGAACAGTGTTTGGAAAGTAGAAATTGCACATTAATTACTTGTTGGTTTGTTAATAATTTTGTTTGTTGATTAAGAGAATAAGGCTTTGTGCTAGGACAAACGTAAATACCACCTGAATTAGGCCTCAAGGTCTGAGATTTTAATGGCAAGATATCAACTGTAGAACTAGGTTATTTTGCTTTAGTTGTAATCATCTTTTATCAGTAGCTTTGGAAATGTCACTCTCTTCTTTTAAGGCATGTATATTCAAATTAGTATTTAGTTAATGTCTTTGAGGCTCATAGTCCACATAAGTTACCATGTCATAACTGCCCATGATTGAGCTTTTCACTTTTGACTTAAAAAATTTTTTTAATTAAACTTTTTATTTTGAGATTTACATGCAGTTGTAAGAAAGAATGCAGAGAGATCCCTTGTATCCTTTACACAGTTTCCCTTAGTGGAATTATCTTGCAGAATTACAGTGTCACAACCATGATCTTGACATAAGATAACGGAACATTTCCACTGCCACAGAGGACTCCCCTTGTAGCAATACCCACTTCCTCCCATCCCATCCCTCCTTAACTCTTGGAACCACTAATCTGGCAAGTCTTTGTTAGATACATAGTTTGCAAATATTTTCTCTCAGTCTGTAGTTTGCATTTTCTTAACGGTCTTTTGCAGAGGTGTAAAGTATTTAGTTTTGATGAAGTATTATTTATCAGTTTTTCCTTTTATGTATCATGCTTTTAGTAACAAGTTTAAGAAGTCTTCTTAGTTTTAGATCTGAAAGATTTTCTCCTTTGATTTTTCTTTCAATAGAAGTTTTATGGTTTTACATATTACATTGAAGTCCATGATCCATTTTGAGTTAATTTTTATATAAAGTTTAGATGTAGGTTGGTTTTTTGCGTGTTTTGTTTTTGGCCTGTGCATGTTCTTTTGCTCCAGAACCATTTGCTGAAAAATTGTCTATGTTCCATTCAGTTGTTCTTGCATTTCTCAAAAATCACTTGAGCATATTTGTCTCAGTCTATTTCTGGGTTTTTTGTTTCATCAATCTATATGTTTGTTCCTCTGTTAATACTACAGTCTTGATTATTTTAGCTGTGTAAGTTTTGAATCCAGGAAGAAGAGTCATTCCTTTTACTTTGTTCATTTTTAAAATTGTTTTAGGTATTCTAGTTCCTTTGCCTTTCTACATAAACTTCAGAATATTTTGTCTATATGTCTCAAAATATTCTGTTAGGAATTGCACTGAACTGTATATCAATTTGGAGAGATTGGCATTTTTACTGTGTTGAATCTGCCAGCCCATTTATTTAGATCTTTGATTTCTTTCATGAGCATTATGCAGTTTTCCACATTTAAATCCTAAACATGTTTTGCAGGATATACCTAAGTATTCTTTTTTTTGAGTGATTCTAAATTGTATTGTATTTTTAACTTTGTGGTGTCCATGTGCTAGTATTTAGAAATACTGTTGGTTTTTTTGTTTATTTTATATTCTGTGACCTTGCTAAAGTCACTTACTCTAGGAAAGTTTTTGGTAAATTAATATGTGATTTTCTATGTAGACAGTCGTATCTTCAAATAGGGACCTTTAATTTCTGATACTTCTGATTTTTATCTCTTTTTCTTGCTGTATTGCAGTGGCTAGAACTTCCACTACGATGTTGATTAAGAGTGGTGAGAGTGGACATTTTTTTTAAGATTTATTTTTATTTATTTATTTATGATAGACATAGAGAGGCAGAGACACACAGGCAGAGGGAGAAGCAGGCTCCACACCGGGAGCCCGATGCGGGAATCGATCCTGGGTCTCCAGGATCATGCCCTGGGCCAAAGGCAGGCATGAAACCGCTGAGCCACCCAGGGATCCCCGAGGGTGGACATTTAAGGGATAACCAAGTCCGTCATCATTAAGTAAAGTGTTACTGTACGTTTTTTGCAGATGCTATCAGGTTAAAGTTCTGCTCTACCCCTTGTGTGAGATTTTTATCATGAATGGTTGTTAACTTTTCAGAAGGTAGCTCTTAGGCTTACCACTATACCACCAGCACTGCACAGCTAGCTGTTTACTTTTTGAATTTGAATGTTTTTCCTGCATGGATCAAAGTGATGGTGATTTTTCTTCTTTAACCTGTAACAGTGATGATTTTATATGATGACACGGTATTTCTACTAGAACCACCAGCCTTGCATCCTTGGGATAAGCCTCACTTGGCCATAGAATGTATAATTCCTTTTATATATTACTCAATTCTATTTTCAGATACTGGAAGGATTTTTGTGTCTGTATTCTTCATGATGGATATTGTTCTGTAATATTTTTTTTGTGCTATCTTTGTCTGGTTTTGGTATCTGTAATACTAAATTCATAAAATGAATTGGGAAGTGCTCTATATTCTCTTTTGAAAGAGATTGTGTAGAATTTGTGTTAAGTTTTCTTTAAATATTCTTTAAACTAGTGAAAATCATGTGGTCCTGGATATTTTTTGGGGAGAGCAAGATTTTAAATTACAAACCTAATTATTTTAATAGCTGATAGGACTGGTCAGATTATCTATTTCATATTGAGTAATTTGTGGCAGTTGGTGTTTTTGAGCATCTTATTCTATTTAGTTTGTCTAAGCTGTCAGTGTTGTTAGTATTTTCTTACTGTTTTTGTTTTGATATTTACAGGGTCCATAATAATTTTCCATTTCATTCCTATGGTGATAATTTCTTGTCTTTTTTCATGATACAGAGGTTTGTCAGTGTTAACTGAAATTTTTTTTTCAAAAAGTTAGCTATTGAATTAATATATTTTTTCAATTTTTAATAAATTTCATATCTGTTACTTGTTCTGTCTGCTTGCTTTGGGTTTATTTTGCTATTTTTTTTAGGTTGCTCAGATGTGAATTAGATTTTTTATTTGACTTTCTGTTTTCTATTGTGCATGTTTATGCTGTAAATTTCCTTCTTAGGGATTTAACTGTCTCTCACAAATTCTAATATTATATTTTCATTCGTTTAATATGTATTTTTTATTTCAGCTGAAACTTCATCACATGGATTGTTCAGAAGTATGTTGTTCAGCTTCCAAGCATTTGGAGATTTTCCTGTTACCTTGTTATTATTGGTTTCTAATTTTATTATATTGTGATTTGAGACTGTACCATGTGATCTACATTCTTTTTTTTTTATAGCCCAGCTTTTGGTCTATCTCAAGTTTATTTTTAGATTGAAAAGAAAGTGTCTTCTGTTGTTGGAAGGAGTTTTCTATAAATGTCAGTTAGATCTTGTTGATATTCTTGTTGAATTCATCTGTATCCTTGCTGATATTGTCTTATTCTGTCAATTTTTCCTTCACATATTTTGCAACTCTGTTAGGTGCATTTAGGATTGCTGTATCTTTATGGTGGATTGGCCTTTTTATCATACATATATGTTATTTTCAAGCTGTGGCAATTTTCTTTGATATTAATATAGTCAGGCCTTCATCTTTTGATTAATCTTTGCATGACATCTCTTGTTCCACTCTTTTATTTCCATCCTGTCTGTATCATACTTAAATAGATTTTTACTGTTTTAAGGTGAGTTTCTTGGGGACAGCATATAGTTGGGTTATTTTTTTAAATCTCTTCTGCCGATCTCTGTCTTTTAATTGAAGTATCCAGATCATTTACATTGAATGAAATTATTGATATATTAGGACTTTAAGTCTACGTTTTGTTTTATTCTGTTTGTTTTTCCTGCCTTCTTGTGAGTGCTTCTAAATATTTTTTAGTTCCATTTTTATTTTTAATATTTTTAGTGTTTCTTGGGCAGCCCCAGTGGCGCAGCGGTTTAGTGCCGCCTGCAGCCCGGGGCGTGATCCTGGAGACCCTGGATTGAGTCCCACATCGGGCTCTGTGTATGATGCCTGCTTCTCCCTCTGCCTGTGTCTCTGCCTCTCTCTCTCTGTCTCTATGAATAAATAAATAAAATCTTTAAAAAAAATATTTTTAGTGTTCCTTCTTCGTATAGCATTTTTAGTGGTTGCTCTATATACTAGCTATATTTATTATACCTGTTTTTCAGGTTCACTGATTCTTTTTTCTATCCCTTCTGTTTAGATTATCCATTTACCTTTTCATGTCAATGTACTTTTTTAATTCTAAAACATTTGATGGCTCTTTATATCTTTTTTTCTCTGCTGAATTTTTGTTTTTTTCATTTGGTTCAAGCCAGTTCATGATTTCTAGTTAAAGCATTTTTACTATGACTACTTTAAAATCTTTGTCAGATAATTTTAACATTTCTCTCATCTCAACATCAGCATCTATTGGTTGTCTTCTTTTTTAAAAAATTGAATTGGAAATTCTCCTGGTTCTTGATGTTTCAGCAACAAGTGATTTTCAGTTGAAACCTGGATGTTTTCATGTTCTGCTGTGAGACTGGATCTTATTTAAACCCTCCATCCACCTTATTTGGCTTTCTCTGCCAACCACTCTGGCAGAGGAAGGGAAGGCACTGCCTCATTATTGCTAGAGTGGAGGTAGAAATCAAGGCACCCTAGTCAGCCTCCTTAGACATCCCAGGGCATCTTCTTGTTAATATTGGGACTGGGATAGGTACCATCATATCTGTGTTGTTTTCACTGACACCACGGGTGGCAGAGGAGATGGTTCATGATAGCCTAGCATGGATGGAAGTCTACGCTCCTCACTCGGTGTTTACTGGCCTTGCGTGAGGATGGAGCCACAGTTTTTTTTTCCCCCCTGTGGTGTCTAGCTGCAATGGAATGATTATAGCCTAAAACGTTTGTCTTCCTAAGCTGTCTTTTTATCTCTCCTCATCCTTTAGAGAGAGAAACCAGGTTTCTGTTTGAGTTGCGTGTGTGTGTGTGCGCGCGCACACGCACGCGCACCTTTTAGGGTTTCCAGCTTCAGCAGCAGCTCTAAGCCACGAGGCAAAAAAGAAAACCCAGGGGACTCACCACCATGTTATGTCGCTCCTTGGCTCCCAAGGTCCCTAGCTGATCTGTCTTCTTCCCTTCATCTTTTAGCGTCTTTTTATGTTTGTTTACATATGTATAATGTCTAAAGTTTTTAGTAGTACTTAGTGGGAAGAATAGGATAAAGTACACCTATTCTATATCCCCAGGAAGGGAAGTCAATTTCAATATTGACTTTTTTTTTTTTAATATTGACCTTTTTTAAGAGTGCACTAGCCAGAATGGCAGTGTGTGAAATTTCAAAGATGGATTATAGAATTTGCATCCATTTTCATACAGAGGCTTTGTTAATAGTGATTGAACCATATATACTCCTGAAACAAGCCACCTGGAACATACCAAGTGCTTATGGGAAAACAAAATAGACTGTCATCTATGGTCTTCCAGTCTAATTTGGGACAGAAAGACCGACATGTACGAAATAATCAGAGGGAAATGCTAAATTACACTGCAATCCATAAGGAAAGAGGGGGAAATAAATGTCATCAGTAAACACCAAATTACAAACTAAATCTCCTTCCTTCAATCTTTATAGGAGTAGTTTATTATTTAGAGTTTATCCCTTTTAAGATTTTTAAAAGTTTTCATTTAAATTTGTTACCATTCTTGTAATACTAGTTTCAAATATACAGAATAGTGATTCAGCACTACCATGTATCACCCTGTGCTCATCATGACAAATATTTGCTATTTAATCCTTAATCTTAATCCCCTTAATCTTTATCCCCTCTTTAACCCATGCCCCCACCAACCTCCCTTCTGGTAACCCATCAGTTTGTTTTCTATAGTTAAGGATTCATTTATTGGTTTGCTCCCCCCCCCTCTTTTTTTTGGCCTTTGCTCTTTTAAATTCACATGAGTGAAATCACATCACATGGTATTTGTCTCTGACTTATTTCGGTTAGCATAACACTCTCTAGCTCTATTTACGCCATTGCTGATGGTAAGATTTCATCCCCCCCCCTTTTTTTAATTAAAATTTTATTCATTTATTCATGAGAGAGACACAGAGAGAGAGAGGCAGGGACACAGGCAGAGGGAGAAGCAGGCTCCACGCAAGGAGCCTGACATGGGACTCGATCCCGGGTCTTCAGGATCACGGCCTGGGCTGAAGGCAGGCGCCAAGCCACTGAGCCACCCAGGGATCCCTCATCCCCTTTTTCTGTGGCTGAGTAGTATTCCATTGTATATGTAAACCATTTCTTTTCTTTCTTTCTTTCTTTTTTTTTTTTTCTTCTCTGTTGTAGGGTTAGGGCTAGGTTAGGGTTTATGGGCAGGGTTAGAGTTAGGGCCAGGGTGAGGATATATGCCTGGTATCTGCAATTTAGAGAACTTTCCAGAGGGCTCAGTTTAAGGTTAGGATTAGGGTTCAGGTTAAGGTTAGGGGTTAGGGTGTTAGTGGGTTTATATTAATGGGAGAAGATGTTTATACAACTATTATACAACTTTATATACACAGTGTGTTCAATGAGGTAAGCACAGGGCTCTTGCTATTCACTGCTAACGTGTTTATATACACTTATATCTTAATGAAAGAAGGGTGTTACTTAAAACATACACTATAGTTTCATTCAGGTAAGAATAGGTCTATTCCCACATGCTTCAACACATTATATTTACAGACATATATATATCAATATTTTATTTGAAGTCACTGTATGCCCAGCCACTGTGCTTAGATCTAGGATATAATTGTTAGTAAAATATGTTCCTTGCCCTGTAGGAGCTCTCAGCTTTAGTTGGAACTAAGGGTAGGAAACAGATAAAAGAAAGCAGACCCTTAAAATTCTAACAGTGTAGTGTGATACATATTATATTAATGGTAATTATGCTCATACAGAATACAAGTTCTATAAAGGTAAAGTCCTGGTTAGGGTCAAAAGAGGCCACAGAGAAATGATATGTTTACAGTATAGCTAAAGAATGGGGCAAAAAGAAAATGGGTGGAGAAGAATATCCCATGCAAAGCAATCCATGTGAGGGAGCTTGACAGTGTTGGGCATGAGGTTATATTGAAGTTCCAGTGTAATAGGGTTTGTAACCATATACATATGCCAGCAGCACAGCTGATTTTGTAAAAATGTTTAAATTAAATAATTCACACTGTTTTGCTGTGATCCAAGTCAGTTAATTTTTATTGCATTAATATAACAAATGTCCACAGTTTCTTTAAATGTCTGTACGAATATGCTAGGGTTGTGGGTAGGTGGTATATTCTACAGATGGTAAATAGATAATCAGTTGTTTACTGAGATACTGATTTTATGTTCTTAGATATATGCAGGTTAATTTGAAAAAATTCCAGCATTCCCTTATATATTTGTCACAGAGCATGAAGAGGAGGATCTTCAAAGTTCTATACAACTAGTTTAGAAAGAGTATACTTTGCCTGCTCTTTACTATCCTTAACAAAAGAGATTAATCATTTTCTTGGGGAGCCAGTTTTATTTTTGTCAAAAGGTAGATTTTCCACGTTTACCTCAGTGCTGATTAGCTGAGGGAGATGTGCTTTATTTGACACTGTATGAACATAATGCTTCTACCTAACTAGTCTATAGAGTTTCCTTTTCAAATTTTATAGAGCTTGGTAACTTCTCTGATAAGCCTGAGATTAAATCACGGTACTGTCTTGTATTTGTATTGAGCCAAACATAGCTTATATTTGGAACACTACGTTTGAAACATTTTTAGAAAAATACTTTGTTTTGACTATATGGCCCAGAGATTAATCTATTTTTATTTCTTATTGCAGATGGAGTCTGGTGGTACAGTTTTGAGTACCAACTGGTCTGATGTAGGTAAAAGGAAAGTTGAAATCAACCCTCCTGATGATATGGAATGGAAAAAGTACTAAATAAATTAATTTGCTATCACTGTATTACATATATTCACCTAATGCCCATTGTGTATTAATATCGCATTCTTGAATTTTGAACTCTGAGTATCTTTTTGAAAGGTTATACCTCTTTACCTCTTTGTGCTTTAGAAATTATTTTCCTTCAAGTGTTCTAAGAGTCTAATGAAGAATGAAGATGATATTTTAACACTTTTGTCCTTAAGGATTTCAGACATGCTGAAATGGAATGAAGTATCATTTGCTACTAGATAGATTAGTTCTACCTAGTTATGAAAGTGGAGAAATCATTACTGGGATATCTTGGGTTATTGCCTTATTTTTGATGGAGTATTCTGTTAATAATTTATTAGATATGGCAATTTTGGGTGAGCATAGATTTTTTTCAACTTTCGTGTTACATTGTTTGCTTTTAAAAACTGCTTTTGGATGGAGTTGTAAATACAATTTTTCTATGAAGAAGTTTGGTTTATTTACCTTTTGTTAAGTTTTGTAATGAGAACTTTGAGAAATTATCACTCGGAATTCCTATTTGGTTATTTTTATGAGAAATATTTGTAATTACACTGAGATTTTGGTCCTTACCTTCTAAATTCCTGTATAAAACATAAGACACCTGAGTTTAACATGCTGCAAATTTATCTATACTGAAGGATAATCTGTGAAATTGGGCCAAAGAGTGATTTAGGAAAGCCCAACTCTACTTCTTGCTGGGTTTTGTTTGTTTGCCACATCAGGAGACCTGAAATTACCAGTGGCTTGTTTTGTGTTGGGATTTTGTTGCCTTTTTTTTTTTCTCTCTCCTTTATTAGAGTATTCTCACATCCCCATGATTACTTTGGTTTTAGTGGTTTAGGGTAGCTGCTGAGAGAGTAAATTAATAGGTATATATTTAGTATATATTCTGTTTCTAGAGTAAGTGGATACCATAGGAATACAAAAAGTAAAGACATCATTAACTTCAAAGAGCTTATAATCAACAGAGAAATTAACATTCATGAAAGGATTATGGAATGACTGCTGAAATTATAAATACTGTTTTGAGACAGAAAAAGAGTGTTTTATGATTAAAATTCTTTGCAGTCTAAGCTTTTATGAAATATAGGCCATTGATGACCTGTAGGATCTGACTTTGCTTTTTGACTGTAATTGCTAAATTGTTGAGGTTGGTGTCTATTAGGCCTCACAGTGTGGCAAGGCATTCTTACATCCTCATAGCTGAGTATAGGGTGAACCAAAGGTGAATCAGCCATTGGTTCATCTTTACAAAGAGTGAGAATTCAGTCCCTTCCATCTAGTCGTTTGACTTGAAATGTAGCAAAGTTCATGAAGAAAATGATGGTGGGGTGGTATCTGACCTTGCCCAAACCTTTTACAGCTTGTTGAGCACCTGGGAGTTTTCACTTGTCCTTTTGCCCACTTAGAGCTACAGACTACCTTTTTGGTTCTTCAGCACTGAAGGAAAAGGCAAAATTAAGTTCTTGCTTGTATGAATTTCTCAAATTTTCTCCTTAAGGAAACTAGATAGTAGTTTTAGTATTCCGTATGTCACAGTTTCTTAGTACCATTAGTCCTAAGGGGTGGTAGGGAGGCTGTTGCTACAGATACAGTAAGTTGGGCATATAGCAAGCACCACACCAGAGACAAGAATCCTAGCTCCAGCAAATATCTGCCACTAATAATCTTCAGGGTTAGTCTTTCTATGTCTTAATTCCTTTATTTGTAAATAATCTTTAGAATCTTAGAGTTAAAATTAAAAATCTATGATTCTAAATAAGAAACATTTCTGTGGCTTAAAACTAACTTCTTTCTTAGGAATGACACTATTGTAATAGAAGTTGCTTAAAAAAATTTTTACTAGTTTTGCTTGTACTTTAAAAGGATACATTATATGTAAAGTATGCTTATCTGTTGGCTAGATTTGCTTAATGATTGGGATTCAGGTTTTCCCTGAGCCAAATGAAGTTCTAATATACGTGACTATAAATGGACCTGGTCCAAGTACAATAGATTATGTGTAAAGAAGGGAGGACTTATGAGAAGTAGGTTAGTAGGTTAGTAGGCCTTAAAGTAACACTCTGAAGTACTGCTTCTCTTTTGCTCTTCTAGATAATGAGGATTTATAAGTTTCCAGAAAGTTAAAAAAATAAATAAAACAGCAAACCATCATTTTGATTAAGAGCCCTCTTTATCCTTTTTTTCTATATTCTCAGCTATTAATTGGTCTCTCTTTTAGATTTCCATTTTCAGTTCTTAAATTTTGGTTTTCCTGTGTTCTGGTTAACCTTTTGTTTCTTCATAAGGTACATTTTTTTCTTAGTTATTCTTATTTTCTTTTTTAAGGTTTAGTCCTAGAAATAATCTTTCTTAATCTTACATTCTTCATCTGTTCTCCTGATTTTTGTAATCACCTTGTTAAGCACCTTGATGACTTCCCAGAATTTTCAGTCTTCAAAGAATTTTGAATGGATGGTCTACTTCTTTGAACTCTTCTATCAAGTAATTTTTCAGATGGCTGTGCCACATGTTTAAACATCAGGGTCAGTTTTGATAATTTTCTATCATGTGTGTTAACCCATTTAGAGTTGGTTGCCACCTATAACAAAGTCCAGTCTTTAGCATTGGCAATTACAGGCCACTTTAAAAAAATAACTGATTTTCTCTGTCTTTATATGGAATGGAGAGAAAGGATGGTTTGCATTCATAACTGCATTTTTAAAAGCATTTTCATCTCTTATATTTGTGATATTCACGAACTTTAGAATATTGAATGATTCTTGTCTCCCTCGGCTAACTATATAGAACAAGGGAGAATATTGGGCTGTCTTATAAATATAGATCTATAAATCTTATATATTTCAAATATTTAAAATGGGAATGTGTCAGTGCATTAATATAAATAGGTAGAAGTTTTAATTTAGTTTATTACTTAAATACTGTTTGGCTGTCCTTACCCATTTTACTTTTCCTGTTCTCCTTCCTCTGTTATCTACATATCAGAGTAGGTCATTGATCTCTGAGATCCACTGATTCAGAGCAGTATTGCCTATTAATTTACCAGTCTGCCTAATGCACTTTAATTGTATTGGGATCTTCCTTGTCCAGATTAGTGTGTACCCCTCTGACTTAACAGCTATTACCAACATTTCCAGAAATAACTCAGAAAATTTCTGAGTAGGTGGTTTGTTATGAGAGTTACTTTTCTTTTTAACCAGCTCTAAATAAGTTTACCTTTATACATTCATACCTGCTATCTTGTAGTCTCATAAGAATATGGATTTATGTTATCTGTGGCTGGGAGGAACCAAGGAGAGGTAATAAAGAGATAATAAAAGCTTAAAAAGACAAAATAATGGTGCCTGTGCCAGAAAGAGTTATAAGTAGTTCTAAATGAGAGATCATCAACATTGATCTTGTTTCCTTTGTGTCCAACCCCGCATATTCTATTATAGGTTCATTTTACATCAGGAGATTTGATTTTGGAAATAATCTGGGAACATGTGGCCAAATTGGAAATACTGATTTACTCACAAATGTTACTATTTGGGTCATCCTCGTGACTTGCTTCTGAAATTGACTCTTAGCCTCTCTTTCTACCTCAGTAAACTTGCCCTCATTCAAATCAAGCTAAAATCCTATACATTGCTAATCTGTTAGGGCAATAAAAGGGTAGCTATTTTGTACTAGTACATTTTATGGGCCAGGTGTCACTAAGTGCTATATAGACACTACCTCATATATAACAGCCGTGTGAAGTAGTGATACCATCTTATTACAGATCAGAAAAATGAGGCCAAAGTTTTAAGTTCTTTGCCCAAATTTACTTCACTAATAAGTGATGCAGTAGGGATTTGAACTTGGGTCTGTCAGACTACAATGTCATGCTGTAACTCCTTCAAGTTTATGAGTTGGGTGTATAATGGGTGATTTATTAGTCACCTATATGACAATAATGGAGAAAATCTGCAAGTTGAATTGTTTAATTCTGCTTGTATATGGGCTAGGAAGGTATTTTCTTTCTTTTGTGAGAGAGAGCAAGTGTGAGTGGAGAGGGCAGAGGGAGAGAGAGAGCATCCCAAGCTGACTCCATGCCCAGTGCAGAGCCCGATGCAGGGCTGAGTTCCATGACCATGAGATCTTGATCTCCGCCAAAATCAAGAGTCATGTTTTCAGCCAACTGAGCCACCTGGGTACCCCTAGAAAGGTATATTCTTAAATGTCAGAATATTATCCTCAGTTTCTTAAGTAGGAAAACTTAGTAGGAATCCAAACCTCTTCTTATAGAAGGTAATATAAGCAGGTTATCTTGGTTTGTATTTGAAGGTGCTGTGTTCTTTTTAAACCCAGGTAATTACAGAGAAACAAGATATCTTTAACAACTATTGCAGGTATAAGAAGACTGACACATCATGCTGATCACAGTCTTGGGATAATAATACCTGCCTCATGAGCTGTTAGGAGTTAAACGAATTGTTTCTTTTAGTCCAGAACGCTCTAAAAACTAAATTTATGTGTGAACTTACAGCATGAAATCATATTTTGCTGCAGAAATATATGTTTAACTATAGAATACTAGCAGAGATCCTGCTGATGTTAAATAAATGATATATCTGTATTGTATTCTAAAATCCAAAATTGTGAGCCGTAGGGTTCAAAACCCTCTGACTCCAAGGGTTTTGAAGGAATTTTGTACCTGTATATTTAAAGTGCGAAAAGCAGTGCTTAATGTTATTGATAATGTCAACATTTTCTTTTTTTTTTTTAAGATTATTTTTATTTATTTATTTAGAGAGATCTCAAGCAGACTCCATGCTGAGCATGGAGCTCGATGATCTCACAACCCTGAGATCATGACCGGAGCTGAAATCGAGAGTTGGCTGCTTGATCGACTGAGCCACCCATGCGTACCCCTGTCAGATTATTTTACATTCATTTAGGCTGAGACGCTTAAATCCTATACTAAGCCTTTTTGTTATAAGTTAAATGCTATACGATTCAAGATTCTGGTTGAGGAAAATAACAGT